AATGTGGGAAGTCTAACCCCATTTGCAATACTGGACAGTTTTTTTTTTATGCTAACACACACACACACACACACACTAATGTGGGAAGTCTAACCCCATTTGTAATACTGGACAGTTTTTTTTTTTTAATGCTAACACACACACATGAATGTGGGAAGTCTAACCCCATTTATAATACTGGACAGTTTTTTAATACTAACACACACACACACACACACACACACACACACACTTTCTCTCTCTCTCTCTCTCTCTCTCTCTCTCTCTCTCTCTCCCTCTCTCCCCCTCCCCCTCTCTCTCTGTAAAAGTTGAGTTAGACCTGTAGGACATTACAGTTAAAAATGACCTTAGAAATCATTAATTGAGTTCTCTCATTTCTTAGAGCAGAGATTCTTAACGTAGGGGCCCTTAGTCCGATAGGTAGATTTCAGGACATTCACGAATTTGGCTAGGAGTAAAAAAAATTTGCATCTTTATTTTCACTCACCTCTTAGCTGAAACATTTATTTTGATTATTTAAAAATCTTATCCTGAGGAGGGCTCCATAGGCTTCACTAGCTTGCCAAAAGGGTCTGTGACATACCAGTTCAGACCTCTTGTCATAGAGGAAGAGCCAGAGGTGAATAGTACAAAAGGGGCTCACCTCAGGTCACAACAGGATTTAGGTGAGGAGCCCAGACTTAAAGCCAGGTCTCCAGACTCTCTGTTTAGCCCTCTTTCCATTATACCTACCAGTGTATGTAAAAGTGAATCCCACAAACCCTAGTAATCTGTAGGAAATAAGATTTTCATAAGAAAATGTCAGTGCTAGAGACATGTTTTCCTTTTAAAAAATACTACCATGGGATTATGAATGTTTATAAAAATATTTCATGATTTCCAATAGTTTTTTTCAGTGAAAATACTTATTTTCCTCCCAGTTTCTCCTCCAATTCATGTTGGATATTCTGTACCCCAGGATTCACCAGCCAAGTCTGTGGCCAAATTCATTTGGATAGAACTACCCTCCTCTGACTTGCTCATTGATCCATTTAGCATTGGGATGGAATGGGCACTTAATTATCTGGGATTTCAGAAGGTGTGAAAGACCTTTTGTTTTTTTCTCATGCCAGAAAAGAAAAACCAGTCTTTTAATGTTTTCATTCTACTTATAATTTTGTAGACTAGTTATAGCTTTGTAGAATTGCCCATTAATGATAGATATTTAATGTAACTGAAAGAATGACTGGAAAAACAATGATTAGTCATGTGCTGTGTGCTTCACACCTTGCTGTGCTACAGAAGCAAGGCAGTCCCTGCTCTCAAGGAGGCCGAGGGCAGTGGTAATGTGGAAAGCTGTAGGAAGAGTAAGATGGGCTTCAGGAGGGTAGACTGGTCCCCAGACCATTAGCAGGGGCAGGGCTGGATTGGTTGTGGTTCCTGGCTCCAAAACAGGAATTGAGAAGGAGGCAGCGAGGCAGCTGAGCTGGCTAGGACCGAGATGACTGGAAAGGAAGGAGTGCAGTTAACTCTGGTGCCTGAAGCTTTCCCGAAGGTATTCTGAGCCGTGGTTAAGAGTCAGCCTATCTTGAACCCAGGACCATCAGGCAGTGAAAGTCTGTGGGGGCAGTGTCAGGGAGATGGGTATTGAAGGGACTGGATGCTCGTTGCTTCTCTGTTCTGAGGCGTAATCAGAACTTGAGGTGGTCTCATAGAAAATGGCCAGGAAGGAGAAAGTCAGCGCCCTGCTTTCTCTTACCTTGAGAACCCTTTTCTGTCCAAAACCCTGCAGGTTCCGAGCAGCCTGGACGGCCGGGCAGCCACGGCTACGCCCGCTCCCCTTCCCCCTCAGTGAGGACGCAAGAGAATCTTCTGCAGCAAAGATCCACTATCTTCCAGGGGCCCAACGGAGCCAGCGTCATCACCCCTTTGGATCCCGCCGCGCAGCTGCGCATCATGTAGGTTCCGCGTGCGTCTCTTCCCAAGGAATGTGTTTCAGCTCCTGCTCTCCTCTTTTGGATGGGTTGAAACTGAATGTCATTATGGCATAAAAACATGCTTCTGTTCTACAAGTCTTGACTTTTGTGCAGTGAATTCGTGTTCTCGTGCGGCTCTCAGTGAATAGGCCCGTCCTTCATAGGCACCTTCAGCTCCTAACTATTTGGGAATGTGTTGGCAGCGGACACTCGGTCACAGCTGAAATCCCCCGCGTCCGGTTTTTGCAGTTCCTTGTCATTGTCAGGAATAATGAGGCCTCATTCTGACGCCGTTTTAGTTCACCGAGTACTTTCACTCCCTCATCGCATGTGGCCCTCACCGCAGCCCCTGAGCTAGCTAGGCAGGGCCCAGGGACATCGGGGAGGTGTCCGCGATGGACCCTGACGCAGAGAGGTGCCGACCGAACGCCTCTTTTCCGACTCTTCCTCCGCTTCTCTTTCCTCTCCGCCACTCGCCCGCCCGTTGATTTTTTTGATGTTACTTATTTGCAGGCAGCTGCCCCCCGGCGGGCCTTCCCTAACTCCAGGCTTGCCTGCCTCCCGCTACAACACCGCAGCCGACGCCCTGGCTGCCCTGGTGGACGCCGCTGCTTCAGCCCCTCAGATGGAAGTGACCAAAGCGAAGGAGAGTAAGCACGAAGCGTCCCGGCTAGAGGAGAACCTGAGAGGCAGGTCGGCCCTGGCTAGTGAGCAGCAGCAGCAGCTGGAGCAGAAAACCCTGGAGGTGGACAAGAGGTCCGTCCAGGGCCCGTACACCTCCGCGACGTTCCCGAGCGGCAAGCCGCAGGGCCAGTCGTCTTCGGTCGTTTATTCTGAGGCAGGGAAAGAGAAAGCCCCTCCACCTAAGTCTCGGTATGAGGAGGAGTTAAGGACGCTGGGAAAGACCACCATCACCGCAGCCAACTTCATCGATGTCATCATCACCAGGCAGATCGCCTCCGACAAGGATGCGCGGGAACGCGGCTCTCAGAGCTCCGACTCTTCCAGTAGTTGTATGTATCCCAGCCTCGGCTTCTGAAGACCAGGAGGTCGGTCACTGGGTACCAGGCAAGGTAGAGCAGGCCTAGCTTCAGGGCCAGAGGCTTCCCGAGGTGTGTTTGCTGGAAAGAGGCGCGTGGCGGTAGCAGCGCCGAGTTATCCGCAGAAGCGTAATGGCTGACACCGCCGGCCCAGCCGGGCACCTGCCAGGGTGTCCTAGAGGAGTGGGAAGGCCACTGAGTGCGCTAAGACAGAGGAGAGGCATGGGGCCTTTGCTTAGAGCCAGTGCCAGAATTCCAAATGAGACACGCTGCCAAGAGCTGGAGAGTAATTAAATGAGATTCAGTAGCCTTTCTTTCATCCACATTAATGGAGTTGGACAGAAGCACCCATTATCCCAGAATCATTTGTTTGACCGTACATTATATGTATGTGCAATTTATGTCTTGTTCACACACACACACACACACACACACACACACACAGCTAGGTGGCGCCATGGTGCACAGAGTACCAGGGACTCATCCGGCCTCACACACTTACTAGCTGTGTAACTGTGGGCAAGTCACTTAACCCTGTTTGCCTCAGTTTCCTCATCTGAGCTGGAGAAGGATGAGCAGAATCGTCTCATCTGCCTTTGCCTACTTGGCATGGGAGGCAGGCCTGGAATAATAGGACCTAGGGATTGGCAAAGTGAGACAAACTGCTAGGGAGATTTCTCCCTTTTTTTGAGGCATTCAGGGTTAAGTGACTTGCCCATGGTCACACAGCTAGTAAGTGTCAAGTGTCTGAGACCAGATTTGAATTCAGATCCTCCAAGCTTCAAGGCCAGAGCTCTATCCACTGTGCCACCTAGTTGCCCCTGGGAGATTTCTCCTTTGACCATAACTGTCACACGATGATGCTCTCCTCCTGGAAAGAACAACTCTGTGGCAGAGAGAGCTGGGGAGGAGGGAGTAGGAAATGAGCCAGGAAACATTCAGGGGAAAGTCCTAAGAACTATGTGGTGTCAGAACAAGAACCAGAAGGCAGCAGGTACATATAACCAAAATATTCATTGGATGTTGGACTTTTCTCCTTGAATCAGTTTAGACCAGATTCAGCAGGTAGAGCTAATGCTGCCCTTATTTAAAACCTCCTCCGCCATGTTCAACCTCAGGGAAAGTTGAAGCACCTGTTCCTGCCACGTGGGGTTGTGTAGCTCCTTAGGAACTAAACCCAAGGGTGGGGTGGGAGACATCTGTAGTCATGTGCTCTGGAGCATGGGCATTTAATTGGGCATTTAAGATGATAGTAGCCTTTTTTGTTTTTTTATAATTGGGAGTTATATGCAGATCCTGGCAGGTTCTCCTAGCTTGCCACCTTTTTTTTTTCTAGCCAAAAACACCAATTGGACGTAAGGACCATTCATTTTCCTCCAAGTATTCCCTAACATTTCTGTACATTGCCATGGCTTTACACAGTAGGTTCAGAATTTATTTGAAGTGACTTTGGTAATTACACCTCATTCCAGTTGTCTACAGAAATGCTTGTAGACAGTTTTTCATGTACTGTGTCAGAGAAGCAGTGTGGGTGGCTTATAAATCTTTCTAAGGGATGTGAATTGTCTGCATCAGAACCTCAGAATTAGGCAATCACCCTTAAGGCCTGTGCCTCTATTACCCAGCTTCAGAAAGTGCTTCACTGAGCTGTCTTTCCCAGGATAGCATCACTGTTCTTCTCTTGGGCTGTTATTAGTCTGTTTTTTAGAGGACTCATAAAATGATGGTGGTGGTGCTGTCATCTGTCCTTTGTAGTTTGTAACATTGAGGAAAATATTAATTGTGGTAAAAACATCTTTAAAAAGCAAATCTATTGCTTTCTTCTATTCCTTTAATTGTATAGCTTTCTAAATTAAGGGTTATCAACAGGGAAATGGAATACTTTTTTTTTTTTTCATTGAAATTGGTGGGCAGGTTGAAAATGATTTGTTTTCAAATAATATGCATTCCCTTTCTTGAAGTGTCATCTCATCGATACGAACCGCCTGGAGACGCTATTGAGGTGATAAGCCCTGCCAGCTCACCAGCACCACCCCAAGAAAAACTCCAGGCCTACCCGCAGGAGGCCGCTAAGACAAACCCTGCAGAAGGTAAGGCTTTCTGAAGGCCTCGGCTCTTTGTGTTTATGCCTGACCAACACCAAAAAGCATGAGTATTTGCCTATTGCAAAGAAGAACAGAAAAAGAGAATTACATATGAAACTCTGAATCACTGTTGCTTACAGCTTGGCTTTTTAAAGTTAGATTCTCACACCTACCAGTTTCCTTTTTTGTGTTGGACAGATGCTGGTATGTGCATATGCTCTTCATTTTTAGCATTAGCTAAAAACATTAAAATTGGTCTTTGTTTCAGATTGTTACCTTTCAGTAAACGCTTTGCTTCTAAAAAATTTAAATAGAGTTTTTTAATTTTAGAGTGAATCTAGAAACTTACGTAGATGCACTATTGAAAATAACTCCTAATTGAAGAAACCTTGGTTTCTCGTTCTCTTTTTGTGAATCACTGACGTTTTGATCCAAGAAGAGATGAGTTCTGGTTGTTAAGATAGGCCTGGTTCACTGCTCAGCCCCGATTCTGACGCGTGCTACCCCTCACTTTCTGTTGTAGTCATCATTCTGCGGGTGAAGAAATGGTTGGGGCTTTTTTTCCTCTTGAATATGGTTTTAAATGTGTTATGAGTTAAGAAAGTCTTTGAGGAGACACCTCTGAAATTAGCTTAATGATCAGAGGATCATTAGCAGTGGGAGAAAGTCGTCACTGAAAAGCCCCCTTGGTGTCTGTCTGTCACACATTAGGTGATCCCAGTAGACAGTATGATGGATCGCTGCCGCGATATCGACCCCAACAAGAGTCTCCATCTCCACAGCAGCAGCTGCCACCGCCAGCACCTTCTTCCCAGGCAGAAGGAATGGGACAGGTTCCCCGGACCCACCGGCTCATCACTCTCGCTGACCACATCTGTGTAAGCGTCTGCCTAGGCTTCCTGTGGGGCTTGGGGGTGTTCCGATTTGTTCGTAAGGGGAGGCTCCCAGCAAGGAGTTTGTTGAGGTTCCTTTTCTCTTCCTGTACATCCATCCCCTTCCCCCTCGCCCCCCACCCGCTTTTTTTTTCTTCCAAATACCGAATTCTTCTGTTAGAATACATGGGTGTGTTACAGATGCTTAACCACCTCCTTCTTTCCCCATTAACAGCAAATTATTACACAAGATTTTGCTAGAAACCAAGTTGCCTCGCAGGCTTCCCAGCAGCCTCCCACTTCTACATTCCAGAATTCAGCATCTCCTTTAGTATCTACTCCCGGGAGGGCAAAAACATCGAGCCGTTACAGTCCAGAATCCCAGCCTCAAGCTGTCCTTCATCCACGGCCCGGCTCCAGGGTGTCTCCTGAAAATCTTTCTGATAAATCCAGGGCAAGGTAAAGGATTTGTGCAAACTCTATGTTGAACTCACTTCCTTACACTGATGTGAACTGATTGCATCTGTCCACCTCCTGCCTTCTCAGCAGGTCATCTTGGTGCCTGTTGTCAAGCCCAAGACCATGTCTGTTCTGTGGCTCTCATGTGCCCAGGAGAGGGACCCACAGAGATTGTGTTTAGTTACGTTGTTGCCTTTAATTTATTTTCATCAGGGTGGAGTGGGGAACAGGAGGATTGTATTCATTGTTTTAGATGATTCAGATGCCTTTTCTCATCCCCTTTGTTGTAGTTATTCAGACCTTGATTTTTTTAGATGTATTTTTGTATAGCCACTGATGAGGAAAGAGTATTTCTGAGTACTGTACAGGGAAACTAGGTGTCTTATGCTGAGAAGCAGAAAAGCTCACATCTCTCTAAAGGGACCCTTTTGGACATGTTGCCTGTGGAGTCCAGTCGAAATGCCACAGAAAGGTTAAATGGCGTGAAAAAGGCTTATTAACACAGCAAGTACTCGGACTTCGCTGTGAGAAGTTTGGTGTTCCAGAGGAGCTTGGTGTGGAGGATTTCTTTCCTTTGTCACCTCTCACACAAACTGACCCAGAAACAAAGCTCTGGTTCTGTGTAGGAGCAGCCTGAATAAGAAGCTGCTTCCTAGGTGAATTTGCTTGTTCTGCCCCCTCCCCCCCAAGTAACATTCAAATCATAATAGTTCTCTTTACCTTCTTAGTAGACAGAGGAAAACTTTACATTAAACTCAGGGGAGGGGGTTAATTAATAGCTCATGGACCACAGTGATCAGTGGAAAGGTCTTCTGGGTGCTCCTAGCAGGGGTAGAGAGGAGGGCCTCATGGAAGGAGCCTTTCCGTTCTGAGCATTCAGGCCTGTTAGCAGTGCTGTCAGTTATTAGCTAATTCCCACCAGTGACAGATTAGGCAGAAGACCTTCTTTGGCCCATGACATAGTAGTGGTGTCATGACTTCCTGAGGCAGCAGCAAATGAAATGACAGCACAAAACCTGGCTTTACGAAGGCATGAGGCTTTGTGGCTTTTGCTCTTTTTCTCATGACGTGTATCTTATAATCTCAGGCCTGGGAAATCTCCAGAAAGAAGTCATGTCTCCTCAGAACCCTACGAGCCAATCTCCCCCCCTCAGGTTCCGGTCATCCATGAGAAGCAGGACAACGTCCTGCTGCTGTCTCAGAGCGCTGTGCCCGCGGAGCAGAGGTGAGCCCAGAGCGCTGGCGGCGGAGGGGGCCTCGAGCTCAGCGGATTTCTCGTTGGCCATTAGCATTCTTCTCTTGCTTCTCGGGACCTGCTTCTGCCGGGCGCCTCCCTCGCACAGGCACACGAGCCGTTACGCTCAGTGGGCACCTGCATTTGGTGTCAAAGACTTGGGTCCGAGTCCTGGTTCTGGTTCTGCCTGCCAAGTCATCTCTGGCCATTTAAATTCACTTCGTCTGTAACAGGGGGAAATCACGCCTTCAGTGCCCCTTACAGGGCCACTCTGAGCATCAGCGAGTTAATGTATAGACAGGGCTTTGTGACTGCCAAGCCTCCTATTCATGTGAACTGCTGTAACTGTCGTCTTGTATGTCCTCTGCTAGACTGTCAGCTTTGTGAGGGCAGGAGCTGCTCTCTTTCATCTTTCTATCGGTCAACATTGCACGAATGAAAGGCTTAGTCATGACGCAGGATCATGTTATTCCTATATAAGTATTTTACTTTGTGATCTTTAGACTCCAGAATACTTACATGGTTGTTCTTGTTTAAAAAAATCCAAGTTGTTCTTTCTTCTTTTTGGGGCTGACCGTTCCCAGTCCTTTTTATAGCTTTATTAAAGAACTTACTATAATCCTTCATACGAGACTATGGAGTTCCTTCTTCTGTACCCCATCTCGGGTTAGAATGTGCACGTCTCTTTATTGTCTCTGGGGTTATCATGTCATTGTCTACTTTGGGGCCTGACATGAATTTAACCAAAATAACAAGTCAGTTCTTAAGGTATACTGTAGGTACCAGGATGGTGAGATTGCCATCTGTACAGAGATTGAGTTCTGCCTTTCTCATGCTGTAGTTCATCCATCAGAGGGCCTTGAATGATTATTGCAACACATAGTTGCATTTGGGAAGATGACTTTATTCTAGAGTTCTGGTTCAACTAACAATTTCTAGTGATAACTATCTTTAATATGAATAACATAGTTTGCACGAAGCTTGAACTAACACTGTATGTGAGGACTTTTCAAGACCTTTGTGAGAATTTGTTGAATGAGAGCTCAACTGGGTAGTTGTGTCCTCAGATGGTTGTAACAGCATGAGCAGCAGTGTGGTGCAGTGACAAGAGCCCTAGATTAGGAAACAGAGGACCTGGGTTCAAATCCTGGCTCTGCTGCTCTGACGACCCATGGTCATTTCACCTCGGCATTCCCTTCTGGTCAATAATCCAGTTTTGAAACCGAGGCTAATCCGTGTCCTAGGAGCACTGTTAACAGTAAGTTCTAACAAAAGGGGAAGGACCTTTTGGTGGTTATGATAGGTGGGAAGCTTTCAGTGGCATCACATCACTGTTCTCAACGAGAGACATTCCTAAATACCTGTCGGGGCACCACTGCTAGAGCATGACATCCTGGTCTTCCTCCTAGGAATGATTCCCGCTCTCCAGGAAGCATAAGCTACCTGCCTTCCTTCTTCACCAAGCTGGAAAACACTTCCCCCATGGTGAAATCAAAGAAGCAGGAAATTTTTCGTAAGTTGAACTCCTCTGGTGGAGGTGACTCTGACATGGGTAAGTGGGACTTATTTTATTAGCTGTATCTCAGATGTACTAGTAGTGACACTCTTGAAGTCACGTTTTACCTCTCATCTCTCAGAACACACCAATAGTTTTTATAATTCTGTAATTAAGGAAGAATTGCTGAATAACCAATGACTGTGTTTGTAGTAATAATATAAAGATGTAGGTGAAAAATTGTAAGGATTGTCAGTACCCTAAGTGGTGCCTAGAATGAGAGGAGAGGCTAAGACCCTGAAACAGTAAAGCTTTTGAGTACTTATTATCTGTTTTGATGTGCATGATCGGTTCCAGATAGTGAACTTAAATATTTGATGTCTCATTCCAGCAGCTGCACAACCAGGAACTGAAATCTTTAATCTGCCAGCAGTCACTACCTCAGGTAAAACAAATAAGGAAAACTTAGACTTTTGGCTGAGACTGAATATGGCATAATGGGAAACACCGATTTTGGTCTTGACCTAAATTCAAATCTTGACCCTGCCACTTACTACCACTTGTTGTCTTTTTTTAAATTTATTTTTTTATTTTCAGTTACAAGTGTTCTACCTTTCTCTGCCCCTCATCCACCTATCTAGAAGGCAAGAAATACAATATCCACCATACATATAAAGTCATACAAAACATTTCTGCATTAGCCATGTTCTGCTTCCCCTCCTCCAAAAAAAAAAAAAGGCAAGGAAAATTCTGCACTCAGGCCCTCAGTTTGCATTTTACATCTTGAGTCCTTTGGAGTTGTGGTGGATCATTGAATTGTTGAGAATAGCTAAGTCATTCACAGTTGATCATTGTACAGTATTGCTATTACTGTGTACAGTGTTATCCTGGTTCTGCTCATTTCACTTTGCATCAGTTCATATACAATTTTTCCAAAACCATTCCCTTCATCATTTCTTCCACCACAATAATATTCCATCACACTAATACACCATAACTTGCTCAGCCATTCTCCAGTTGATGGGCATCCCCTCAGTTTCCAACTCTTTGCAGTCACACAGAGTTGCTGTAAACATTTTTGTACATGTAAGTCCTTTTCCTCTCTCTCTTTTTTTTTTTTTAAATCTCTTTTGGATTTAGATCTAGTAGTGGTTTTGCTGGGTCAAAAGGTATGCAGATTTATAGCCCTTTGGGCATAGTTCCAAATTGTTCTCCAGAATATTTAGACCAGTTCACAACTCCACCAACAGTATATTAGTGACTCTGCTTTTCCACAACCCCTTTACAATTTGCCATTTTCCTTTTCTGTCATGTTAGCCAATCTGATAGATATGAGGTGGTATCCCAGAGTTGTTTTAATTTTGCACCTCTCTAATGATTAGTGATTTAGAGCATTTTTTCATATGACTATTGAGAGCTTTGTTGTTATTCCTCTGAAAACTGGCTGTTCATATCCTTTGACCATTTATAAACTGGGAAATGGCTCCTATTTTTATAAATTTGATTCAGTTCTCTATGTGTTTGAGAAATAAGGCCTTTATCTGAAAAATTTACTGCAAAATTTTTCCCCCAGTTTCCTGCTCTTCTAATTTTGGCTACGTTGGTTTTGTATGTGCAAAAATTTTTCAGTTTTATGTAATTAAAATTATTCGTTTTACATCTTGTACCACTAATTTTCTACGTGACTTTAGACTTCATTTAACCTCTCTGGGCCTATTTCCTCCTCTGTACAATGGGAAAGTCAGATTAATTGATCCCATTCAACTCATAGGTATGGCCCTATTTAGTCACCTTGGAAAGTCACCTGACCTCTCTGAGCCTTTATCACATGTATAAATTAAGGGTATTAATTTGACAGGGTTAATAAATAATCTTTGAAATTCCTTTCACCTCTAAATCTCATGGGCCTGGAATCATTGAACTTAGAGGCTACATGATTAACCCCTAAATTAATAAGGTAGTGGAAATGAACCAACTGAGAGTCATTAACTTAAAATAACAGCACATTAATCATATTAAAGGCAAAGAGAAAGAGAAGGCAAAGATAAGCTCTTAACTTGGGGGTTGGGAACTTTTCTTTTTTTAAATGCTGACAGTTGTATTTCAATAGAATTGGTTTCCTTTGTAATCCTATGTATTTCATTTTAGGCATTTTAAAACATTATTTTGAAAAGGAATGCATAGGATTCACCAGACTATTGCCAGGGGGTATGTAACATGCTCAAGGTTAAGAACTTTAGGTATAAGGAGACCAGAGGAGAACGCGTGAGGATTTAAGGAAGAGTAATGTTAAGTATTGGTTTAGGTGTGATTGGGGTTCACTTAGGAAAAGAAACACACACATCAGTGAGCACCAGGCATCTCGCTCCTTTTCATGAATTGTTGGGTGAGACGCAGACTGAGGCACTCTGATGCTGATGGCATCGAAGAGTTCTAGGCTACCAGATTGATGTCTCTTTTCCTGCTGCTCTCTTCTTGTAGTGGCCCCAGTCTTCTTGTAGTGGTTCATCAAACGTTTGGATTCTTTTTCCTTCAGGCTCCATCAGTTCTAGAGGTCATTCTTTTGCGGATCCTGCCAGTAATCTGGGTCTAGAAGACATAATAAGGAAGGCTCTCATGGGAAACTTTGATGACAAAGGAGAAGATCATGGAGTTGTCTTGACACCACCTATGGGAGTAGTATCAGGTGGTTCAAACCCATCCATGTTGGGCAGTAGTGAAGCACGCAGAGAGGAAACAAACCCATCGCCCAATTCTGGTAAAGCTTGTTAAAGACTTAATATGCCCATGTAAGTTGGGATCGCTTCTTAGAGATATCAGCTAGGCCTACGCCAGTAACACTGAGGTGTGAGGGGAGCCACCCATCTTTTCAGTGCTGGTAATGTGAAGGAAGTTCTGTACTTTGTTATCAGCTGCTAAGAAGCCGTATCCACCCCCACTTTTAGGGAGAATGTGTTTAGGTTGGAAGGTCAGAAAGAAAAGAGTAAGAAATAGTATATGCTTTTTCCACCATATTACAGATGTTAAAGAAGAGAGGAATTTCTATTTCAGAGCATTTATGCTCCCACTAAGGGTGCTCAGTTATTTCTTGAGCAGTTCAGATTTCCCCAAGAAATTGGTTTACTTTATTTGTATTCAGTTTATGTGTGTGTTTCATATGCTTTTTATCTTGGAACCCTGATGTATCAAGAGTGATTTTTTTTTTCATATAAATCTTGCTTGCAGGCGGGGGAGTTGGCAAACCGAAGCTAATTGGCAAGTCAAATAGTAGGAAGTCTAAATCGCCTATTCCTGGTCAGGGCTACTTAGGAACTGAGCGACCTTCTTCAGTGTCATCTGTCCATTCAGAAGGAGACTACCACAGGCAGACCCCTGTGTGGGCCTGGGAAGATCGGCCCTCTTCCACAGGTGAGAAATTTACTTACTGGGGGCTAGAAAACAGCATTGTTGACTACTTTTATCTATATTTATCCATAGCTATTGTTTCTTTCCAAAGCAATACTTTTATATCTTGAGAACTGTGTTCCCTACTAGTCACTGTTTAGTGCACACCTCACTGTCCAGCACAGAATCTGGGTGTACTGAGCAGCACAAAAACGCCTGACTCGGGTTTCTGGTTAGAGAGATAGGGAGGGATGGGTTGGGAAAGCGACTAGTCTAATCAGTTGTGTTGTTTCTGAAACTAGTGGAGGCATCCATAAGCGTGCAGTTCATAGCAAGTAAAGGGCTGTTTTTAGTAGATAGGCATAAGCTTTTGTAGGCTCAGGTATTTTCATCATGTGATGCAAATGATCCCTAGTAGCAAGTGCCACTCCTGAGACGTTCACCTCTAGTCTTTCAGCATTCCTCTTCATCTGGGCCTCTGAGTTTTGGAGTCTTACCTTCTACTCTGGTGCATAGATTTGACCAGGGGTTCTTGAAGGTCATGCCCAGTAAAACACATTTAACGTAGGACACATTGTGCCTGCCACGTTGGAAAGGCTTGAGAGAACAGTCTCAGCCAAAATGGCATATGCTTTCTGAGGGCCAGCTTAGGTAGGCTCGCCACCGAGGGGCTGGCTGCTTGGGATAAACACTTTTTGGCCATGACCACATATGGAACAAGGAAACATACAAAATGGCCCTCCACTCTATGCAGCCCCTTCCTTTTCTACAGTGATGGTGCCAAAGTGGCCGAAAAAGGCAGCAGAGGGTGAGAAGAATCGGCATTTTAAAAGTATCTGTAAATACCAACGTGCTGGTCACTGTACTTACAATTGTAAGCATTTATATAGAGCTTTAAGCTGTGGAAAGTATTTTATATGTTATCTGTTTTGATCCTCACAACACCATGTGAGGTAGGTTCTATTATTATTATTCCCCATTTTATGGATGACAAAACTGAAGTTGAGAGAGATTAAATGATTTGTCCAGAGTCCTACAGTTCATCAGGATCTGAGGTAGGATGCCAGCTGGGGTCAGGGACTAGCCAGAGGAACTAACTTGCCCCTTCTAAAAAGTAAATGAAACCAGGAAGCAAAAAAAAAAAAAGTGTAGCTGATTGGCAGAGTGACTCCCGAGAACGGAATTAGCCGAGTTGGTTTTCTCTTTGAGTTACACCACGTCCACACTCCCTACAAGTGCACGTTTATGATCTGGAGAGACCGACTCCTAAAATCCATTTTACTAAGTACGCTCAGCCAAGATATATCAGGTGCAGCTCTCTAGGTCGCCATGTATGGAGAGGCACCCAAGTCAGTAATAGCAGCCCATGCAGGAATAAATAGTCTGTCAAATCGGAGACGATATCTTCTATTCTTTGTACCGGTTTGTATAGGATTCCCCAAGAAAACCTTTCATCCTGTCCCCATTGTAGGTGTCTGTGTGTCCTGATCCTTCTCCATTGGGCCCAAGTCCTGAGCAAAGCAGACAATTAATGCCAGAGGCATTCTCCTAGTCCAGGGTCTTGGTCCTTCTGCGGCCACAGGGGGAACGTCCAAGTAGGGGAATAGTGAAGAGTCCCCCAGGGTCTGAATAACCAATGCCACCTAATCGGACGGATGATGCACCTAACTGGCCAAGAATTAGAGTCAATTAAGAACCCTTTACTTTTTCAGTTAGTGAGCAACCTCCCCAGCCTGCCTTCACGTTGTAAAAGGGTGGGCAGGGAGCTCATCCTTAGAGGGCCAAGATTTCTACCAGAACCCACAGGGACCGGTACAGGTTTCAGTGTAGTAGCACATACTGATTGTCAATATGCCAAGAGGACAGCAGCTTGGGCCAGAAAACTGGCTGCCAGGTGCAGAAGCATTCAGAGGCATCTTTGGTCCAACCATCTGCAGAAAAAACTCTCTGGAAGCAGAAGCTAAGGGCTTACAGCCCACCCACCCCTTGTTTGGAACTCATCCTGTGGCCTGTGGGGAGGGCCTCCCTGCCTTTTGGTCAGCTGCCTGGGCTGTAGGTCCCCTTCCTGTGGCCATCACTTCCCCCTCATAGAGACATCCACCTCTAGGGCAGTGAAAACACATTCTTTGGCTTAAAGTATAATGAAATTCCCTGCCCATCCCAACATTATTCTAGAGGCGAAGTGGATTGTGTCTCCAGCATTATTCCAGCTACTCAAGGAGCAATATGACTGTTGGTCCAGGCTGACAGGACCCAGCTCACTATATAAATGGTCACCCTTTGTATGGCATCAGCAGAGTGCCACCACCTAGCCTCTCCTGCCTCCACAAGGAGGCCTCATCTGCCGGTCTAGCAAGGGACACTAAGCAAGCCACACAAACAAGCATCAAAACAGTTTTTAGCCTCCATGTTATCACAAAGAGGCAGCCAGAGCTGACAGTAGAAGTGGCAGGTGGTCTGAAAATATTGCCCTTCAGAGGGCAACAGTCTTTTTCATGGAGAATTCAGTGGGTTCAAGCTTGGCACATTCCTGAGCCCTGCCCATCCTATTAAAGTTCATGTCTGTAGTGTAGTTAGAAATCTCTGCCATGCCTTCTGGGGAGATGCCCCTACCAGAGGGTCATAGTGCATGAAGGCTTGGGCACATCAAGGAATGTCCATGAACTTGCCCTTCTGTCATGGGCTGGACTGATAAAGTAAACCCGAACTTAGGCCCATCTCCACACATTGAACAAATCCATGCTATACTCAGGCTAATTTATGTCTGTAGTAGAGGCCTATCTTACTGGTTGTCCTGCCATCTCGATGCAGGCAGAAGTCTTTGTCTCCTTTTTGCTGACTGCCTCAACCTCTCTGCTCCCTGGAATCCCCAGGGATGTTAGTCCCTTAACTTCCTGTGGAAAGAACTGAATGAGTTTTGGGAGCACTCTTGACAATCTAAATTTCGTAAGGTCGTGTTACATGGGAGGTGGTGGATGGTAAACAGGTGCTGGGGCTGGTGGCTTTCCTTCTTCTTTTGGTATTTCCTAACTGGGAAATTACAGGGCTGGTTATCAGTCTTCATGTTTTAATAATTATGTCCATAACTCCCTCCTGGTAAAGCCCTCTGGGCTTTCCATCCTTTTAGAGCAAGCCACTGAAGAGGGTACCACCGAGCAGGTCTGCTGACAATCCAGGAGGTTCATGCTGGATAAATCCAAATTTCCAAAGTGTACCTGAGCCAGCAGGAAGAATACTCTCCAGAGCTTAGCTCTAATGGCTTCTGGAATAGGCTATTCCTAAGAGTCTGGGCTTTGTTTAGTCAGCAAGAACTACAGAGTCAATTAAGAACCCTTTACTTTTTCAATTAGTGAGCAACCTCCCCAGCCTACCTTCACATTGTAAAAGGGTGGGCAGGGAGCTCATCCTTAGAGGGCCAAGATTTCTACCAGAACCCACAGGGACCGGTACAGGTTTCCTGTCCCTACTGCATAGGAGCTTAAAACAGACTGGAACAGGAAGTTGACTGGCTAATTTCCCCAACTTATAAAATTCAGCTTCATTCAGTAAGTCAGTGTCTACTCCCATTGGACAGAAATCAGCTAGCTGAGTCTCTAAACCTCCTCCTCTTCCTGGCAATATTTAGCTGGCAAGCATCGCATCTCTTTCCCCACCCTAATCTTTGCCCATTTTCCTATCAGAGTACACCTTGGGATAGTGGTAGCATATGCCTTTTTGGTCCCAGTATTTGAGGGAGGCCTGGCTTGGGCCAAGATGAACAGGAAGAACTAGCATAAGAAGAATATCTCTTCTTTCAGTCCCCATCCTCCTCCCAAACTTCATCTCTTATTTTTCTGGAGCAACAGGTTGTTTCAGAGTCCCATCAGATGGTCCCTGCAGCATCACTAGGGAATGGGAGCTGCTTTCGCCTTCACCTGGATTATTATAAATTCCATGAATTTGCCCTCCACCTTCTGTGTAGCATCCCTGGCTCAGACTCATTTAATTTCATTTTTGTTCACATCATGGTCATCTTCTCAGTAACCGTTAGAAACAGCCAAGGAACAATGAATCCGGCGGTGTTTTTACCTCCTCGCCAACTCTTCCACTGGACCCAGTTGGCCAACTTGTATGGATGTGCAGCTTTGTCCCAGCGATGGAATTCATCACCCAGAGCCTCCAATTCCTGGACCACCAAATACTGGGACAGCCATCCTGGCAATAGGAGCACACTGTTCTTCCCCACTGCTATTCCACTCTCTTAGCAAGCCATGAGCTTATTGTCAGCCTCGTCAGATTCTGCAGGCTACTCCAGATGTCTGAGGCCAGATTTATGTTTGCCCCAAAGATTGAGAAACCGAGGCAATGAGACATAATTTTTTTAAAAGGATAATCCTATAGTACATACTAATGCTGATATTTCTACAGCTCTCTAGATCCTTGCCTATCTCAGTGTACCCAGGTCAAAAATGACAATAGGCGTTGAATAGGAATGAAGGGAAGTAGAAGAGCTTTATTCTCTTCTTAGTAACGATTTATGTAAGATTGCCTGGTCCCTCTGGTCTTCCATGGCTGTGGGCTATCTGTAGCCAGGCCGTGTGGCTTTCATCAGCCCCATTAATCCCAAGTCCTAGGAGAAACAAACAGTGCCTAAGACAGTTGAGCGTCCCGAGACTGCACGAAATGTTTCACGACACATTTGACCACTTATGCTCTTCATAAGCATTTGACAACATCACCATGAAATTACATGTTGCACCTGCACAAGAGATCTGCAGAAAATGAGGGAATAGAGAAATTACATGAAGAGTAGAAGGACCCCCCACCCCCACCCCACCCTAGTAAGTCAACGTCCACTTTGATATGTTCTGTGATTTCAGTACAAAGGTGAGTGTGGGGGAGGATGGTGAAAAACAGGTTGGAAAACGTGCTTTAGCAGTAAGAAACAAGAAGCCGGAGGTTTGTACGCTACATAGAAGTCTCATCTTATATGATGCATCAGGGGTTCTTAACCTGGGGTCTGTAAACTTTAAAAAAAAAAAAAAAAAGACATTTTGATAATTTTTGACATGATTGGATTCCTTTGTAATCTCACATTTTGTTTTATGCATTTCAAAGCTTTATTCTGAGGAGTCCATAGGCCTTCACCAGATTATCACAAGTGTCCATGGCACAAAAACAGTTAAGAACCCCTGTCTAAATAATTTTTTTCAAGTAGGATTGGGAGGTGCTGCATATGCCAAGTACCAAATAACACTTTTTAAATGAAATTGATTATATTTTAACAGACAGGAGATTAATTGTAACTGATTTGGCATACAGACCTACATAAGGTGTGGTGTACAGTCAGACCCTCAACTTCTTAGAATAAAGATAAATGTTAATGTAAAACTAGAAAAGAAAAATGCAGAGTTCAGTTTTTTAAAAACCCAACAAATTCAACCTGAACTATTTAAATAAGATGTTTGTTGATGCTCCCAAATGAGAAACAGAACCATATTATAACCATTTTCCTAAAGAGGTTGCCATAGTGGGGAAACCAAGAGAGCCAGGAAAGCACCTCAGCCAGCATACAGTTAATCTCCTGACCAAACTGCAAGAGATACATACGGCAGCCGACGGCAATGTTGGTTTAGAATATAAATGCCTTTGTAAAATCTTAGGGAGGGGGATTGTGGAAGATTGGGAGCAGTATCGCCTCATAAGACAGTGAGGAGGTGTGGAGAGAAAGGCAAGATTAAAAGAAGCACAGAGAAAGACCTGACTGAGCAGTCATCCTGAAGACATGGAGTGATGGGATTGGGAGGAAAACAGACAGAAATGGAAGCTATTTGTAAAGACTTTATCACAAACTCTTTTCATCCTGAAGGCCAATGGGGCCACCACCTTTGGACTCGCATCCTAGTCTCTGATGTGTCCTGCGTGAGGAAGCAGAAATGACCCTCAAAAGAGCACAAAGCTGGACTAAACCAAGAGTACACAGGAGGTCCGTGCTGGAGGCACCCCGATTCACAGGTGTATGTAAGAGGGAAGGGTTAGCAAAGGTGCAGAAGGAATTCAGACTTTGTGACCAAAAAAGGGAACTGTAGCCCTACTTTCCTGTCTGTACAGTGTTTGTGATGGTCAGTCCATACATTGAGGGTACCTTTGGAAGTATGAGAAGGGAACAGGCCGGCTTTCACAAATGGTCTGCTACTCAGTCTCAGTCACACAGTGAATTGAAAGGGCCAGAGTGTACAGGATCCTACCATGCTTCCTGTTTGTTGGCTACTAAGAAAGGATGTGACTCAGTAGGGGCAATATACCACCTTCAAGGCCTTCCTCCAGCAAAGTGTTTCTGCCATACGTGTCAGGCATACAAGATTCCTTGAAAGATAGAACATATTTTTTTGTTCAGAAGTATCTGATTTGTTACCATCAAACAAAGAAAATAAAAACAGGAAGATATGCATGTAAGTGACAGAGGTAAGTCCAGTGCAGACCCTGATCAATCACAAGCATTTATTAAGTGATTACTATTTACCAGGCACTGTGCTTAGGTGCTGGTGGTATGTCTACTGAAAGAACTCAGATTTCACTGAAGGGAAACTACTTGTATACGGGTGAGGAAAAACACTCATGACGGAGGGCATCAGAGAGGGTGATGGAGGCATTTACACTGCCCCCTGAGCTCAGAATGCAGGAGTGCTGGAGTCTGGGCCCTGCTTCTGTGAAGGCTGTGTCTGGAGAAGAGCAAGGAGGCCAGTTTGGCCAGAGAGCCTCGGGGGGAATAAAGTTTAGAAGCAGCCCGGCACTCCAGTGCATCTTTAAAAGCCCAATGGAAAAGTCTTTGTGTTTTGTCCTAAAGGTGCTAGCTAGTCACTGGCCCAGAGGCCAGTGGTCACATGGTCAGACTAAATTAAAGAGGGTGAGGTTCTCCAGATACATCTCCTCATGGATGGCTTCAAGCTGATTGCAAAAAGGCCCAGAGTACTGCAGAACATCTTAGGCAAGATCATAATCCCTCAAAAGAATTCAGCCTAACTCTTCGTACAGGAAAGCCAAGTGATGAAGCATGCCTGCTGTGTGGTAGATAACAGGCAGTTGGCTAGGTCCTCTGTAGAGTCCATCACTACCTCTATCTTGAACAGATAATGTACATGGACAATGAGTTGGGCCCAGGATAGAACCGAGGGAAAGAGTGGGCCAACTTGACTTCAGGAAATTGTGAAGTGCTTTTATTGACCTCAGACTTCTTCCTGAAACAAAGGCCCATGTTTTAACCTCAGTATTCTTCCAGTAATGATGTATGGCTGCGATTCATGAGATATCACACTCTCCAAAGGACTGTAAGAGAGGATCACCCAAAGTGCAGCATTAATGCTCATGGACGAATGAAGAATCCAGAGAAATGCATGGCTCAATCACATAGGGAATGCCAGGGATAACCAGGGCCCGGCCACCGTGTTCCATTGCTACCCACATAGTGTCAAGAAGAAGAAGTCTCTCCGCGTGTTGGGGGGACCAATGGGACAGATGTGCAGGAGCGCAGAGATGACAATCACACAGCATGTACGTGGATGTGTTGGGACCTGCACTGCTGGAAGAGGGGCCTCCTGAAAGAGATGGCCAGTCCATCACAGTGTATACTTAGTGACCTTTATAAATTGAAGTCAAAGAATCATAGCACGGGAAGGGGTATCTCAGCCCAAAGCCTCCAAGCAGGTCAATTTTTAAGAAAATTTTCTCATATTTTCAACATCAACTTCCTTTCCCAATATATCCTTTCCTGTTCCCTCACCCTGAGGTCCATCCCTTATAATAGAATAAGGGGGAAAATTATTCAGCCAAATTAATCACCACGTCGATCAAATCCAGCAGTATATATGCAGTGTTCCATGTCCACAGTCCTGCATCTTTGCAAAGAAGGTTCATTCTCATATCTTTTTCAGAGCCAAATTCAGTCATAATTAAAGAACATTCCATTTTAATTTATTTTCTGTTTATATTGTAGTCTTTTTATATATGATTTGCCTGGTTCTACAGAGCTTAGTTCTTAAACTGTCATCTCAAAAAATAGTTTGTTTCAGCTTTATGGCACACGTCATGTTCTTGTATGTATGGTAGGTCTAGAAAGAGAATTCTGTTTGACCTCTCAGCCTGCAATACAGTGGCAGTATAAAATGAATAATGATTGTAAGTTAGTTTTAGGATTACCTTAGGTCTCTTTAGTGGAAAACAGAGACATCCAATGGGAAAGAATACGCTGAACAGCCTTTGCTTCCCACGCTTGATTCATGAATTACATAACTGTCATATCATGGTGACTTGGTTCTTCAGCCAATATTCCTCATAGCATAGAAGGGAAAGAACCTTGAACTCAGGCTCTTGAATTACTGTGTGAGAACGGGCAAGTCACATAAATAGTTTTTGTCCTCATTACCTCACAAGGTTGTGGTGAAGAAAGTGTTTTGTAAAGCTTAAAGTGCTGTCGGAAGGCGATTTCTTACTTGTTATTCCAAAATTCTTACATCAGCTAAAGACTTCTTCTTGCAGTGGCAGGCTGCCAAAAAAAAAATTAGTCTGATTAAATCTAGCTCAGAAAAATGATTGTCTCCCAGATTCTCAAGCAATTGAGAATCCTGTTCCTTGGAGATGGCGGCAGGGGCTGGAGTTGCTGAGGGATTTATGGGAAATGGTCCTGGATCCCAGCGTAACTTGGGCTTACTCCCTCACTGGCCTGCAGCCTGTTCTTCCTTCCCCACTTGGATCCAGGGCAGCTACTTCATTTGCCCCAAGAGAACTCTATCCCTGACCCTTTGGCCCCTTCCCTCCAGTTACGGACTTTGGAAATCTCCTAAGCACTATTCTTCTGGTAATAATGTGCCATAAAGCCATTCTTCAGTTTTCTTTTTTCATACTCAATAAAAGAGATCTAAATATTTTTATTGGCTGTATTTTCTTGCGTCTTCAGTCATCTTATTCTTTGTTCTGCCTTCACGTGCCCTGTGACATTACTTAAAAAGCATGTGAGGGCCCCCATGGAGGGCCAGACCCTGCTGCGTACTGGGCGCAGAGAGTCTGGCCAACGCCCTTGTTGTTCGTGGTACCTGTTCCCCAGTATGAAGTTACTCCCTTCTTCTAACAACTTTATCATATCCCCCATAGCTTTGTGACGAGTTCTTGTTCAGTTCTACAGAAGGAAATTAAATTTTCCTCAGCCATATTCATTGATCAATAAAAGCCAAATTTTATTTTCGGCAGGTTCAACGCAGTTCCCTTTCAACCCTTTGACGATGCGGATGCTCAGCAGTACGCCGCCAACGTCGATCGCTTGCGCCCCCTCCTCTGTGAGCCAGGCAGCTGCTCACCCACCAAACAGGATGTGGGAGCGAGAGCCCGCCCCGCTGCTCTCTTCACAATATGAGACGCTTTCGGACAGTGATGAATGAACTATGCACAGACTGACACCAGGGGGGAGGGGTCTTTAGGTTTTTTTTGTGGTTTTTTTTTTCTTCTCAATTGCGGGTCTAAAAAACAGTCTCTTGACTTGTGCCCAAAGAGACTTTCCAGGAGAACCAGGGCCACACACGATGAAGAAATGATGGAATCTCATTTGGAGAGTCAAGTAAAAAAATGACTGTGATACAGCCCGTCAGGAGGATTTTAATAGTGGAGGGTGGAAATCCTGAAGATAAATATGTAAAGAGTTTTTAAAAAGTGGACAATTCCTGTTCTTCATCTATTTGTAAAGAAAAGCATAATGTCTTTAAATCATTCTTCTGTAAATAGAGATTACCTTTTTGCAGTGTTTTCCCCTCACTATAGTATCTGGCGTACTTATGTTCCAATCAGCGCATCGACTTTGGGGGTCATTTTTTGTGATTTTTTTTTTTTTAAAGGAAATTAAGTGTGACTTCAGAACCCTAGCCTTCCAAACAACCTCACTCGGCCTTGTTACGTTGCATTGGCCGTCACGGGCATTGTATTTTAATGGTGTGTTTCTCTTTACATTTCCCCAGTGATGTTTAAAATCTTTATGAAAATGTTGAGCTCTTCAGATGGACCCTGTGACAAAACCTGTACATTATTATATTTGGGTCAGCCAGCAGGAGAGAACACATTTGCTTCATTTTAAAAAGTATTCTGCCACATTGTACATTTTTTTAGTTTTTAAAAAAATGAGCACTGCAGCAATATTATTGCATGGGTATGTGATGATTCTGCTTGAAAAGGAAGAGGAGGCTTATATGAGGTGAACCTCACTGTAATGCACACTGGCGACTTAACTACCACCCTGGGTATTTTTCTTTGCTGCCTTTGATGCAATCCAAAGAGGCTACTGTCTCATTCCCATCTCCATGGCCCTAGTGATTGGGCCGCTGATGAAGTAAGGCTGGGTGTCTCAGGTTCCAAGGGAAGTGTTAACTTCCCCTTGTTGTTGTGTGGGCTTGCTTTTTTTCTTGAGTTTTGTAGAGCAATCGAGCTATTTAACCAGTCTCGAGATATCTTAGATTTTGTGCTCTACCTTATTGAACACTCTGTGATTCACTGTTTAAACTTAACATTCTTCTGTTCTTTGCACAAACTAGTACTTAGCCTCCCTCCGCTTCCCGGTTTTGGGGCCAAACTTAATGTTAAACATCCTAACTGCATTGGCTAATTAGCTAATTTTAAATTGGAGTAAGGAATTATTCATGGTCTAAGACTATCCTCCTAATCTCATTAATCACTGCCTGCTGAATTTTAGGTGTTTATTACAACGTAAGGCAGATGACAATCTATCCCCACCTTCCCTTTGCATCTAGGTACTACTTGGGAAAATGCCAGGTTTGTTTGGGTTTAAAACAGGAAATAGGGCATAGAAGGGATGTTCAGGTACAGTTTAAAATTTGCTGGGACTAATATACACTGAATCCTCAAAAGAGCATCCACTGTCGCCTTGTGTATACACTTTAGAGAAGCCTGGCCCTCTCTTGAGGTTCGTTAAGAGAAATTCCGAAGGAGTTCAGATGTTCAGTTTCTGATACTTGAAGGATGGACATCTGTGTTCACTTGGTTCTGTGATTACCTCCGATTTTATAATGGAATGATTACATCTGATTATCTGTTCAGCTTTAACTGTGGAAAATTTCTAGAATCTGAATGATTTTATGCTGTTAGTCCACAAGCAGCAACTGTTATGATATTTTTCTAAATGCTTGAAAATCAAAACCCACCAAAAAAAAGGGGGAAAAAATCCTATTCTTGGCCAACAGTTTTCTTACTAAGATGATTTTTTTTTTAATGTGACAGAGGTCAAAATATAGTGACTTCGTTACTTTTCAGTTCTAATTGTGGACCCATGATGCTTTGCCACCCTCATCACCTCACCCCCAGAGTAGGAACCAAAACCCCGACACAAACCATGTTCTATCTAATGTCTAGGAGGAAGTCGTTTTCTGTTTGTACAATTGGACAGAACCTCAGAGTTTCTGATGAGCCATTAAGTCCAACCCTATCTGACCAAGAATCCTCCGTCTAGCACCCCAACAGTTGTTCAGCCTCCAGGAGGCTCACCATCTTCTCATGTAGCTCATTTCACTTTTAGGCAGCTCTGTTTGTTAGGAGGGAGAAGAGGTCTTATCTACATCTCCTCAATCTGCCTCTCAGTGACTTCTGTCTGTTTTCTCCCTGCGGTCTCAGTCCTCTGGGGTCAAGCAGAACACAGCTAATCGCTCCTCCTTGTGATAGCCATTCCGTTCCTACTTCTCTAACACAAGAAAGTTGGGGTATTTTAAGTGGCTTTGCCTGTGGAGCAACCCCAGAGTATCTACTCCTTGGGTTAGAGTGTGAATTGGGGCATTGGGAGCCATGGGGGTTTCTGTGAAAATGACAGAAGTCTTAGTCCTTCCTCCCTCTAGTGCATCCACTCCAATTGAAGCTGCCGTTGCCCACAGACTCTCTGGCCTTCTAAAGGCCTGTTCTTGGAATTGAACCTTGAACCAGCCCCCTCATCGATTCCAGCACCCAGGGCCCAAGTGGAGATCGGCTCGAATGCCAGGAGCCTTATGGAGTTGGTTCTGCCCCGTTCCAATCATGGTTTACAAAAGCAGGTGGACAACGTTTCAGTGCCGATTTGTGATCCGCGCTTTCACAATGTTTTCATCTTGGCGTGTTCACTGATTCTGATCTGAAAACATTTGAGACTTGAGAACCCATGTATGACGATAGAATTTAATTTCTCCCCTTTCCCTTCTCCTCCCTCCCCCCATCCACAATGTCTTTAGTAGCCAGTGACTTCTGGATTCAGACCAATCAATAAAAGGGGATCAGTTAGTTCTCCATTTGCTTTGCCGCCTCGTTTTACAACAGTGCAGACGAGCCTCACTGGGAACAACGCTATTATTGGTAGCTCCCTCTGAGGGGAGAGAACTCTAGAGAATTTTCCCAAACCTGCTACAGCAAGGGTGGGAGGGAGGGAGGGCGGAGATACAGGCTCACAGCAAGACACTTCCCACCCCCATCCCCACCTGCTCAGCCCCCCAGGTGAGTTTGCTTAGCTAAACTTTTCCTTGTGAAGCACCACGGCTGTATCTCTGTCAAAACTGACATAGAGAACATTAACTGTCTTTCGGGATTTTTTGAAGGAAGTAGATCAGCAAATAAATGATTAAGTTAGACCTTCCTAAATCTTCTGCTCTTTATCCTATATGCGAGTTCTCCTTTCAGCCTCCCGTTCCCTAGGATCCTAGCCCCCAAGACTCTCTCATGTTTTGGGCCAAACCTGGGATTTTATTTCACCGGGGAGAGCCTAGAGGAAATCTTCTATTACCAAGAGACAGCGACGTCCACGACCCCTGAGAGCTTTAGAGATCTGCCCAATGGCCCAGGGCTTCTCAGGCCAGCTCCCTCTACTAGGTCATCCTGCCTCTGTATTTGCTACGTACATACATCAAAAGATTTTTTTCAGTCTCAGCCAAACTAATAAAAAAGCCCACCTGGATTCCTTTAGAATGCTAGATTTAAAAAATGATTCGATACAGAAGTGATCTTGGTGTCTAGTTTATTACTTAGGATCATCCAATCCACAGACGTACCAAAAATATTACTAGTGCACTCATTCCATGGATGGCATACAAACAGTTCAATAAAATTTACATTCATCACTAGTTAACGTAGATAAACCGTCACTTTTCCCTGGGCAAGTAGTCTTTTGTAGGACTAAATTTCATGAGATATGAAGGTGTGTGTGTGTCTGTGCACACGCACACGAGCACACAACATTTTGATTGCTTTAAGTGTTCAATTTCAAGTGTAGCAGGTTTAAATTAGTACACGGGAGATTAAATCTCACTTTTATTAGGTGAGACTGAAGTGACAGGTTTCTTTCCTTCTCCCAGGACAGATTATAGTAGGTTCATTTAAGAATAAATAATTAGAAGCTCTGGAGGTTTGAAAAACACAATTTCACATCAATAAGTAGATTCCTGCAGAAACTTAACAGCTCACTCGGGTTTACTACAACTCAAGTTTTTTTTTTTACTATTTTGGACTCAGCAGCCAAGAGTGTTAGAAGCCTCATTCATCCATCTATTTAGAATGCTGGAGTGCTTCAGAGGACAGGCAGCTGGTTCATTTCCAGCTGCCCTGCTTACCAGTCCCATTTATGAAAACCTAATTCTGCATAGTGGGTAGAATAAATTCACTGATTACGATACTGGCCTATAAGTGCCAGTGAAGTATACTTTTAAAATAACAATTTAGTGAAAGTCCTGGTGGCCCCTGACTAAGCCTTTTTCTAATATTTTTTTTCCTTTGTACCCATTGGCAAGAAACTGAATGTGGCTACTACCCACAAGTTACTGGTTAAAGTTGAAGCAGTGTGTATCCCGATAAGACGAAATTTACCTTTGCAAAGAAGCTAACTTAAGACTTTGATCTCTGACTCGTTAGATCCAAACTGCTCTTTCGATACAAATAGAGAAGAGCAGAGAGGCTACGGAAAAGAGGTGGGCACTAATGTCATGTTTTAAAAATCACAATGAAAACCAAAGTTAAGGCCAGGCCTTTCGTGACCCTCTGAATAGGCTGGGCAAAAAGAAAGACTGCAGAATTCTTCATCAGTGACCTAATTCTCATGAGGGCTGCTCTGTTATTCCCCAAAACAAGTCAGGCCTTGAAAAAGAGGTTTCTTCTCTAGCAGTCTTTGTAGCATCATAACAAAAACTACACTTTCCCTTCTGTTCCCATACAGCCAGTCTGTTCCCTTGTGGAGGAGTTCTATGAAGGGTCCAACACTGAGAACAAAGCTCCAGTCTGAGGGCTTGTTTCTAGAAAAAGGCATGGGGTAGAGTACGTTTTGTTTGACCGTTAAAGGGGGGTAGAGTTGAGCATCAGACAGGAACGATTCAAGCCGACGGGAATCACAGGCCTTCCTCTTGGTAAGGGGCGTCCCCGCCCCACGCTCGAGATCTACCCTTGGGTGAAACCTAGTCAAAGGCCTGGACCGCTGGCCAGTTCAGCCAGCTCCTCCTTGATGTGTTCGATGGAGGCCACGTCTCCCTTTAGCTCAGCCTCTTTCAGGGCCTCCTCGTAGACGTATTTGGCTTCAGCAAAGCTTGCTAAAACCAGGAAGAAGGGAAAGCAGAAAACTTTTTTTTAAAAATGGGAAGCCTGAGGGAGAGACTTAGAGAATTTAAAGGGTTACCCAGAGCTCAGACACCCCCTCCTCCACTAGCCCAGAGGCAGGAGGAGCTCAGAGGCCTCCATCTGACCTGGAGGGTCTTCATCTTGACTTGCAGGTACAACAATCAAAGGAGGTCATGCATAGCAAATGCCCTGCCGACACAGGCCTAGCACTATGGTGGGCACTCTCCCTACCTTCAACGTCCTCTTCCAGCCCGCTGTTCAACACATGGCTACAGGGGGGACAAAAAAGACCCTCCAGGAGGGAGGGTATCTCTCCAAGCGCTGCCTGTACTCAGACCCCTCGCCCCTGGTTTCTCTCCCCCTCCCCAATACCTTTGTGCATCAATATTCCTGCCATGTTGCTGAGGACGCGGTGAAGCTCCGGGTGCTCAATCTGCCTCGCCAGCTCTGTTGCCTTTTTCACATACGTATAGGCTTCATCAAAGCGGCCTTGTGCATCCAGGGTAGTGGCCAGGTCATTCATTAGCACCACGGTCTGTATCAAAAGGAAAAAAAGGAAAGGCAGCTTGGACAGCGTGAGTATTAGCATCCTGAATGGGGCTTCTCTGGTTCCACGCAGCGCCTTGGTCATGCCAGCATCACCACCACATACAAGCAAAGATCTCCTGACTTGTGCCATCCCGGGAAGAAAGACTCACGCTGAGCTGCAAGGGCAAAGGGACGGGGCTGGCGGAGACACTGGAGCAGCCCTGCCCAGGTGGGCGGCATGGCCCCCCCCCCCCCCCCCCCCCCCGCCCGGGGGGGGGGCCCCCCCCCCCCCCCCCCCCGTCAACGGTGCTGGGGAGTGCAACTCATCCCCACAGTCCAGGGGGTTCCCCTAGGCCATGTCTGCTGCCACCACTGTCTACAGAGAAGTCCTCTGGAAGGGCCACGCAGACGTGCAGACGCCTCACCACAGAAACCAGTCTGGGTTTCTCTGTGCTCTGAGGTCCGAGGGAAGGGCAGTCTTGCCTAGGTGCTCAGCTGGTGGTCCTTTGCCTTTCCTTTGTTAAGTGTCCATGTTAAATATTGTGAAGGCCCAGACCTGAGCCAAAGCCTGGTATTTCCAGGGGAAACTCTATATGAGGGGGAAAAGAGCCACTACAGAGAAACCATAAGCCTCTAGGCTCTATCTTCTTTGATGGACACACAAGTTACACTTGTGGGGAAGCGGGCCAAGGACATTACACGAGAAAGGACAGAGGTTCTTAATCTTCTTTGTGACCTGGAGCATTGGTCAGTCACGTTTGCAAATAAAGTACAGAGGAATATCAAGGAAACCAGTGCCACTGAAACAAAGCTGTCATTTTGGTCCTGTCTCCTGAAGTCCATCTGTGGAGCTAGTGTAAGAAGTCCTGCCCTGGACCTTCTCCCTCCAGCAAAGGGCTCAAGAATCTAGCTGCACCCGTTCACACATTCACCTTGTCGCTACCACCTGATAAGCTCCACACATTGATTTACTAACTAGCAGAATAAAACTCCACTTACCCTAGAGGTCAGCCTTCCAGAAGGCTTGCCTCTCTAGAACATTGATATGATTCCACAATTACTGAAAAAACTGCCCTAAACGCACGGAAAAAAGAACCAGATGCTTTACACACTGGGCAAACAGCTTCGCTATTTTATATACAGTTTTAACAAGCATGGTTACAGAATCTAGCCACCAAAGAAGGAAGGAAACAGAAGGAAACAAAAGCTAAACGGGGCCATTTGGGGAAGGAAGCTCCTCCGTAGGGTTCAAAATAATAAGAGGCTCAGAAGGGTCCTGAGTCATGAGGAAAAGGTTAAATTGTGTCCAACTGTTTGAGAAGGCAGAGAAGTTCAGATAGCTTCAGAGGGTGTGGACGGTTTAAGGAAGTGGGCTCACCCTGGTCCTCAACAACACAGACCACTCCATTCTTTGATTCAACCAGATGAAGTCATTACTGTACTTTGTGTCTTAGGTTTGCCTCTCCAATTTCCTGCTTACCCTATTCTGGGACTCAGTGAAAATGTCTACACTGACCACCTCCATCCTTTCCCCTCTCGCCTCCTCCAGGCTTCAGACCCTTTTTAATCCTTTTTCCACTCTCTTTCTCTGAAGCGTCTCCAGCTCTACTGGGTCTTTTCCTTAAGTGTGGCAAACAGAAGGGACATGCGGTCTAGGAAAGGAAAGCCCGGCCTGGTTCTGAACAAGAAGGGGATGTGTCCTGTTTCATTTCTAGAGCCCTTCTAATGACAGTCAGCATGGTACAGGCCTTTCTGGCTATAGCAACACCCACAGCCCATGTCTTCAGGACCCGACTCCCCCGAGAATCCCTCAGGAAATACATCACTTCACCCATACACAGACTGAAGGTCACCTATCCCAGTTTTACTCACTGATCCAAATGAGCAGTTCTACCTCTCCCCTCTTCTTGTAGTATGGCATTTCATATTCCAAAATTTCACTTTATACTTCCTCACTCTGATTTTTAAGGCAGGATAATGAACAAACAACCATTTACCAATAAGCCATCAAGACAGCAAGGAGTGGTCATCACCTGTGGGTGTCTTTCTCCTCGTATCTCTTTGGAAATCTGCAGCGCTTTTTCGTACATCTTTTGCGCATCCAACAGTCGGCTGATATCAAGGAGATAGCGAGCATAGGAGTCATAGCACATGCCCAGAAGGAGATGGGTGTTGACTTTCTCTTCCGCTACAAGTCAAGAACATGTGGATGGATGTTACATTACAACAAAGGAAGGGAAATGAAGGACGGCTCTTCCCTTCCAGCTTCTGATAGTCATGTCCTCATTCATTCCCTGGTAAATCAACCCATCAGTCCCTAAGGATCCCAGCCCCTAGGTATAAATGTGAGAAACATTTAGTAGTACTGAAACATTGCCAGTACCATGTTCCTGGTATAATCACCAATCTCAGAATCAAAGTAGGTTCTATTCATTCATAGATGAAAATTGCTGTCAAGAGAGTTGGTAGTTAATGGAAGACAGAAATGGTTTGGATACCTAGAAACTGACTTGGAGTTGACTTCTGGACTTTGTTTTTTGCAGTTATTAAATATCTGATGTTCTGGAAGTTCCCCACCTTTCAAACTGAATTCAGGAGTTAAGTTTCCCACATAATTCATCCTACGCCCGGTTAATTAATCTATTAATATGCTGGCTATGGAATAAACTTTAACACATTAGCCAAAGAAATGCTGTTCTCTTTCTGAGTTTGCTACCTGCCTGACTCATGTGTTTTGGAGGTTAAGAAAGAAACTAGGTATTTTAACTTAAAAGATCCAGACTTGTGGCTGAGCTGAGTACAGGAAGGAAAACATCGATTCCTTCCTCCTTCAGCTTCCTACTTGACCATGGGTTGTATGCTCATTAAAAGCTGAGAGTTAAAGTGGCCACGTCAGTTCTGAAGGAACAGCAAAATGACCATCCCCAAAGCATTAGCAGAGAACACAACCTCTTTCTGATCAGCATCCAAAGTACATAATTCTTCCCCCTTTCACTTTAACTAAGGAACCTCCTTCCCTTTTCTGCAACGAGTTAGAAAATTCCTCTCAGGTGAGATCTACTTTCCCTACCTGGCATAACTTCTTCTGTTAATGCCTTCTGTCTTGTGATTTTTCTCTCCAGGGTTGAAATGCAGAACTCATAGCCAGCAAAAGCAAATTCCTGTCTGTAATGCAAAGAGCAGGGACGGGCAGTTCACTTTCAAACAGGGGTCAGGGCCAGACTACTCTTTGTCCAGAAAGAGAAGTGTGAAATGGAAAGATGGAAATAACTCAAGTCTCTCAGGGCTCCCACCCGCTCACCACTCAAACCTTTCGCTGAAAAAGTCACACTGTTCAGGTTAGTTTTTTCAGGGATATGCACCAGGCACATTGCTATATGATTTCCATGATAGAGATGTTCCGATTCTGACACTGATCAATGGGTTTTCAACTGAGTCAGACTCTGATTATAAATGTTTATTCTCTGTCCATGAAAGCAGCATATTAATCCAAGCCCATGTGACAAAGTAGCCCACAGCTAAACTGAAATGAACGTCAGGGATGCTAGACAGGCTGATGGTGCCCGACCCTCTGAAAAGCAGGGGCTTTACAAGCGTGTTTCTCACATCCCAAATCGAAAGCCTTCCCTCTGCCACAAGCCTGCCCTGTGATGCCTGCTGTCCCAAGGGACCCACCGGAACTTACCTTTTCAGAGTAGCATAGATACTGGCCAATTTTAGGGATATTTCAATTATTGCATTGTCCTCCTATTGGAAGAAAAAGATGTTTACGGAATGCAGAATTCAAGCCTGTACAATTCCTTCCTAGACCATTTTATGTAATAATAACTGTCATTTATATAACATATTAAGGCTTACAAAGACCATCATTTCAATTACCTGATTTTAGCTCAAAATAACCGTGTGGGATACATTTTATGGATCAGGAGACTGAGGCTGAAAGGTTAAGTGAATTGTCCAAAGTCCGACTGCTGGCTTTGACCCCAAGTCTCCCTCTAGCCCTCCATGTACCAAACCATCTCATATGACCTCACACATCAGGGTCCTGACTCATGGTCAGCATGTTCCTCATCACAGCAATCTGGTTTAAAAGCTCACTTTGCAAGCACTTAGTAAGAACCTACTACATGCCAGGCACTGTGCTTTCCTCAGTTCTCCATGCTGTCAGGCCAGCATGGTTGTAGGCTGACATTCCTATTTTGAGGTGGGAGATGGAGGGTTAGCAGGGTGGATCTGCTCTGGTTATAAATAAAATGTACACTATGAGAAATGCTCTTTTGTGAAGATGCTGATTTGGAACCACTCACAGCTAACAAGTTACTATTCTTACCTGCTTCATGCCCCCAACCAGGAGATAGCTCATTGTTGCTTTAAAGAGCTTCTCTGCCTAAAATAAGAAATAAGAATATTGTATAACTGATCCCACCATTCCACCAAGGGCCACAGAAAACATAAGATGAGGGTTTCCAACCTGGGGTTTATAGAATAACTGTCTAAAAGGAAAGCTAAAGGACACCAAGAGGTGACAGGAGATGGCAGGCCTCCCAAGTCTGTCTATTTATAGATCTTCAGGAACGCCTTGACACAGTATGAGTTCGCCTTAAATTAGCTCATCTGGTCCCAGTCAAAGACCGCCCCCCCAGAACTTCAAGCCTAATCTTTCATGGATTTAGATTCTAATAAAACACTTGCTTACTTTTTCAAGCTGATTCCTCATGAACGCTAAGTTAGCCATCTGTAAAGGAAAGAGAAGCCAAACCCAAATTACTTTTCTAATTGGTGCATGGCCCCCATAATTTTTATCAGAATCTAAGATCTTTTCCCTCTATTCTCTTAGAGTGAGTGGTAAGCATGACCAAAAGGACCGTCAGTGACTAGAAGTCATCACTGTACAAGGAGAGTAATAGGCATGTACTTCAAACCCTGCTGATAATGACTAGGCTAGCACTTACTCATTTCTTAAAATTCCCTGAACATTTTTACAGAAGCAAATATTAATGTGTAATGGTGAATCGTCAGCTCCCACCACAACACCTGACACACAGTAGGCCCTTAAAAACCAACTGCTTGTGGACTGACTGTATGTATGAGAATTGAGCTTACAATTATCAACAGCCCCCTCCAACACTGAAATTAAACTCACCTTACAGATGAGAAAACTGAGACACGACAAATCAACTTATACATTCTGTCCTCTTGAGACCCAGAAACAGAAAGCAGGAGGCTTGCAACAACCCCTCTCCTGCTTTTGGCCCAGCAACAGTAGGGAGTGAATTACCATATCATAGGTGTAGATGATGGCCTTCTTGATATCTGCCTTATGAGCAAGATGAAGGGCCTCGTGCAAAATTCGCTCTGCCTCCTCAGGGTCCTTTTTCATAATACTCAACTGCAAGCCGAGAGTGCAAAGGAAAACGTCGAAAGAGGGATGGTGAAATGCAACCATGGCTGGCTTTTAAAAATATACATACTTTTATTTATTTCATTGAATATTTCCCAATTACATAAGAAAATTAACATTCATTTTTTGACATTTTGAGTTCCAAATCCTCTCCCTCGCCCCCCCTCCCGCCCCGCCCCTTCTCCTGGAGAAGGCAGATGTGATATCATGATTATGCATGTGGCATCATATCGCTGCCTGTCTTTTGACCTTTACAAGGTTCCCTGAAGGCCTTTTTGCTTATTCTGCCTAGATCTTACAATAGTCCTGGGGGGCACACCCGGGGTCCCAAGCCCCAGGAGGGGCCGTGGACCCCGGACAAGTCCCTTCTTTCTTCCCCAGGCCTGGGGGTGGGGCTGGATGAGGACGTTCGGGAGAAGGAGGGGCGGAGGGGGACCGGGGGGGCATTTCCCCCCTCCCAACAGGTCTTCACGCGGGGCCTCACCTTGGCCCGCTTTAGCATTTCGATGATCTTGAGTTCGGTCTCGGAGGGAGGGCTCTCCATCTCCTCCTCCTCATCGTCATCCTCCTCTTCCTCCTCCTCCACCTCGGCGGGGGCGCTTTTGAAAAACCACGACAGAGCTGCGGGCGAGAGGGGGCGGGCCGCCCGGTCACCACGGCAACGCGGCGCCGTCGCCATGGCAACGGGCGCCCTTCCGCCCCCGCCCCCTCAGCCCTCGGTCCCCAGCTCCCGCCCCCGCCGTCCCCGCTCACCCGCCAGCGCCACCACGCACAGCCCGCGGCCCGAGCGGCCCTGCCCGACGCGGGGCGGCTTGGCGGCCACGTCGGTGCCCCGTCGGCCGCTGCCACCGCCGCGCGGCCCCGCCAGCAGGAGCCGCGCGTAGCCCCGGCGCCGCCGGCCCGCGGCCGCCAGGAGGCCCCGGCCGAGGCTGCGACTCAACGGGCCCCACATCCCGGGGTAGGTCCGCGCAGGGGACGAGCCCGGAAGGAGCGGGCGGCTCCGGACAGCGCGTCACGCGGCCGCCTTCTGGCCTCTGCTGCTTGGCCCGGAGAGGCCGGGCGCGCCGGAGCTCCCCGGGAGGACGGGGGCGGGCGAGCTGTCACCCGGCCCGGCCGTGGCACCGGCGTCGGAGCTCCGGCTGTGACACTCCCGGCAGCCGCCGTCAGCAAGGCAGGTCCGGCCTAGTCTCCGCCCTCTCCTTCCCCGGGCTCCGCCCTCGGACCCTACCACGTGCCTGGGAATCCCGCCCTCCCCGCATCGAGGAGGTTTCTCTGGCCCCCAACTTCCGGGGACGGAGGCCGGATGGGCTCAAACCTTCCGTCTCCGACCTAGAAGGCCCCAATGTTCCCGCTTCCGGGCTCCTGAAAGAGCGCTGGAGCACGTGACCTGGCGGGGCGGGAACTACATCTCCCAGGGTGCGTAGCGCCTAGCCTAAGAAACCGGTTCCGTCTGAGCTCCGGGAGGGCGGGAGCGGGAACCCGAGAGTGCGAGCCCGAACCCCCATTGACCCGAGAAGCCCATGGGGCCGGGACGGTTCTCGGCCCTGGGATTTCATCGCAGCCTTCAGTGCCCCTCGCGTGGGTCCGAGCTTCCCCCTCCCCCCGCGGGTTTTCAAGGGTCTGGGAGATCCCGTAATCCAGTCCCCACGTTTGACAGATGAGGAAACTGAGGCCCGGAGGGGCAGCAAAGGCCCCCCACGGGGCAAGACACCGGGTCAGGATGTGAACCCGGGGCCTCTGACTCCGCGTTGTCCTAAGTGGGAGCCCCTGGTTTCGTGACTCGCCCACGGTTTTGTCCCGTGTGCGAGTCCAGACCTCCCGATGCTGACCCGCGCTTAGAGATCCTTTTGTGAGTGGCTGAAAGGTGGCCTCTGTTCTGGTCCCCAGGGTGAGATGACGGCCACGCTGCCCACGGTGCTGGAGGAGATTCTGGGTGAGATTGCGGCCACCTGCGGGGAAGCGTCTCAAGGTAGGGGGGCAGCTTCCCCGGGGGGTCCCGAGGACAACTGCTGGGGGCCACAGAGGGTCCTAGAGCCCCGGGAGGGCTCCCCCGGACTGGGCACGGTGCTGGGCACCCTCTGCCCTCAAGGAGCTTAGAATCACATGCGCGGAAGGCAGACTTGGCGTCCTGGGGAAAGCCCCGCGTTGGGGGCACATGGATCCCTTCTGGTTAAGTCAAGATGCAGTAATGAAGCCTCAGTATAGGCCGCACACTATGGTGAGTGGGGGGAAATACAAACAAAAAGGCTACGCTCCCTGCCCTCAGGGCGCTTACACTCTAGGGAGAGATATGGGAGCTATTGGCGCTCCACTCCTGTGCTGACGATTCCAGGCCTCTCCTAAGTCCAGCTAGACAAGGGAAAGGGGTGAACATGGCGGCCTGCCACGATGTCCATTGGCCAACTGAGCCACAGGAATGTGATGGTAGCAAAGGGCCAAAGAGTGCTTCTGCTGCCCAGTGGCCCCAAAGGAAAGGAGGACGTTGTGCTTGCGGGGGGAGTGCGGGGGCGTTTATGTTTCCTAGAATCCCTGCTGCGTTCATCCATACCTTTGGCCACTGGAATAACTCTGGGATGTTGTACAGGAATCTTCTAGCTTTTTTTCCCCTCAGTGACCAGCAGAGGATGCTCCCTGACTAATAATAAGCTTTGCATCATCCTCCAGCTGTTTTTTAAGCTGGCATTACACAAGGAAACAGGCCAGGCTATTGTTGTAGTCTGCTGTGGTACAGCAAAAAGAGTTTGGGGGGGGGCCTGGGATCAAATCCTGACTCTAACATTTCCTTTCTGGGTGACTTCAAAAGTCACTAAAACTCTCTGAGCCTTGTAAAGCAGAGACAGTGCTGCTTGTGCTACACAGTACAAGGTGAGGCGAAAAGGCCCGTGTGGTGTTAGAATTATGATCTCTAATCCATAAAATTACGTAGTCAGAATCATAATGAATATATGAAAAGGCATTTATTAGGCCTTTCTCCTTTGCCCCTCTCCTGGTTCTGGCTGCCTGGACCCTATAAGGGCTGCTTGGTGACGCTTGTGGATCTTGCATGAGATGGTAGTCATCACCTCTCTTTTTCCATGATGTGTGGAGGACCCCAGGCCTTTCTACTTGTGCCGCTGCCCTACTGATGTAACCCAGTGACCTCTGGGCTTTGCCATTCTCATTGGAAAACTCAACAGATTTTTATTTCTCTTGATTAGAGCGTAGGCACCTTGAGCGCAGGGATTGGCTCTCTTCTCCTTGTGTCCCCAGCTCTTAGCATAGGACTCAGCACATAGTAAATATTTGATAAATGTTTTTTCATTCATTCCATTCATTTATTACTGTGTAGCTGGCTGTGTGCTAAATACAAAAGTGAGACAGCCCCTGCCCTCACGAGATTATAATATAATAAGGGGAAACACATCTAGAGAAGCGATGACCAGGAGAGGGTGCTTTGGTCTGGAAAGTCACAGTGGAACCACCGAGCAACTGCCTTTTCCAGAGGCTGTGCTAAGGTTGATTTAATTACAGTGCCCAGAGTGAGAGGTGGAAGCAGGGAATAGGGTGGTGATACTTGACCAGCAGCAAGTCCTAAAATGGCCAGGGTAAAAGGGCATTGTTAGGTCTGAGGTCAGCACTATACTGAGCTCTCATCAAACTGGACAGCCAGCTTGGAGGGGGGGGGGGGGGGAATCCTTGAGCTCTATTGGACTGAAGGTACATTATAGGAATGGTAAGGCTGTCTAGGTCAACTCCCTCGTTTTATAGACAAAGAAACTGAGGCTCAACAAGTCAGAGTGATTTGCCTGAGGCCACACAAGTAGTAAATAGTATTGTGGGTTTTTTTAATGTTTGTATACATATATATGTGAATATATACCACATATCCACAATATGTGTGTATAGAGTATACATATATACTATACATGCACACACCTATTCAATATGTAAGCACCTGCCTCTAGTTTTCTAATTGATCTTATTTTTATGAATACCTTTCATTTTTCCATCCCCTTCGTTTCCAAATGTCTCTTCCCCCTCCCCACCTAGTGAGCCATCCTTTGTAACAAAGATTAGAAATGAAGTAGAGAGAGCATTTCAGCCCAACCAGCCAATGTCTCGCGGTGCCTGATGATGGCCGCTGCATTCATCCGTACCCGAGTCTGGGCTGCTAGCCCCACTTTTTCTCCGCTCTTCCAGATGTCTGTTTAAAAATACTTTGGTGTTGAATTAGTATCATTCAAAGAGATGTCACTATTTTCAAGGGAATGTGCAAGAACAAATCAGCTCCCTTTGTTTGGTTTTTAATCAAAACAGCAGTGAGTGAATGTGCTTAAGGAGATGCTCTAGTATTAGCTACTCACACGTGGGTTGATCCTGAGCTCATCCAGTGAGAGAAGCCATTGTTGTTTCCTACAAGCAGATTGTTTGCAGGATGAAAACCCACTCAGACATTCAGTGGCTCCCTATTGCTTATTCACGAAAAGTTCAGGGAATCAGATCTTAGGGATGCAACCTAGGAGTCCGCCAGCACCTTCTTGGCTCTGGCTTCTGGGAAGCACTGGGCTTGGAATCAGGAAGACTCATTTTCCTGAGTTCAAATCTGGCCTTAGCTGTGTGACCCTGGGCAAGTCACTTCAACCTATTTGCCCCAGTTTCCTCATCTGTAAAATGAGCTGGAGAAGGAAATGGCAAACCACTCCAGTATCTTTGCCAAGAAAACCCCAAATGGGGTCATAGAGCTGGACATGACTGAAACAACTGAACAACTTAATTTTTTCACGATCCCTTTTACTTTGTACATTGTTAAGCCCTTTCTCATCATCAGAGTTTAAAATCTCTTTAGGGAGGAGTTACGGAAATGAGAATTGATTACGGAGATGGCCCTTTATCAGATTTTATACTCTTGAGCTGTCCAGTCCATTTCCGTTTTCAGAATTCTGATAGTGTTGGGTAGGAGGTGGAAATCTGAAAGGGCCTCGGTTGTGGAGGTGGGCTGGCTGTAGCCTTGTAAGGCTTTTATTGCTAAGGTTCAGCACGCGGGCTCGGCAGTTAGCATTCAGGAAGGTGGCTGATTTCTCTTCCCCTTTTTTGTTTTGCAGTGCCCGACGAACTCCTGTTGGCGTGAGTATTTGCCCTTTTGAATTTGGGGATTTGGGGGGAGCTTTTATTGTCAGTGATGTTGGAGTGCCATGCTTGTCCTAGGTCTGACCTTGTCATTCATCACGAGCTCAAACATTCAGTGGCTCCCTATTGCTTGCTGACAAAAGCTTGAACCTTTCCACCTGGCACTCCCAGCCCTTTACAATGTCGTGCCACCTCTTTCCAGCCTCATTACTCAGCTCCGTATGTTCCATCCAGATTGGACTGCTCTTTGTGCTCTCCCAACACCTCCAGAATAAACAAACAAACAAATCAATATGTAAAACTTAACCTCCTTGCCTTTGTGCGCCCCCTTCCCTCTCCCTGGAATTCCCTTCCTTCCTGCTCTGCCTGGGGAATTCCTACCCATCCCCCAAAACCCACCTCAAATGCTGCTTCCTTCAGGAAGATTTCTCTGATTACTTCTCTGCCTACCCCCAAGTTGAAAACTGTCTTCCCTCAATACCTACTTAAGTGTGTGTCTTATAGCTTTCTATATTGGAGTCTTATTCTTCTTGATGTTGAGTTCCGTGAGGGCAGGAATCATGTCTTTCTTAACCTTTATATCAATAAATCAACTAATAAGCACTTGTTAAACACTTACTGCATGCCAAGCACTGTCCTGGGCTGTGGAGATGTGAGACAAAAGTGAATCAGTGTCCACCCTCGAGGGCAGTTGAGTTCTGCTGGATGAGACAGACTGCACAGATAGACCTGTACACAGTACCAGGTGGTTGGTGAGGCTTGGGGAAAATTAGGAAAGGCCACATGTAGAAGAAAGTAACCCGAATTTGCAAGGAAACAAGATAGTCTAATAAATGACTCTGCAAGGGAGTGCATTCCAGGCACTGGGGACAGTCAGTGCAAAGGCATGGAGCTTAGAGATGAGCTGGTATGGCGGCCTCAGACGTAATGGGAGGGGTCAGGCACCAGGGCGCTGGGCAGGTGGAATACACAAGACTTGGTAACTGATTGGGTGAGGGGGGAGGAGGAGTTGAGGACCAGCCTGCGGATTGGGAGGATGGGGGAGCCCTAAACAGAACTAGAGAAGTTTGGGGGGGGAAGCTTCCAAGTTCTGCTTTGGACACGTTGAGTTTGAGATGCCTTTGGGATAACCGGGAGGAGATACCAATAAGCAGTTGGTCACAAAGGACTGGAGCTCATGGGAGAGACCCCAGAGGTCTAACACTCCTTTGCATGGAGGTGATAATTAAGCCTGTGAGAGCTGATGAGGGCAGCCAGAACCCAGAGCTTCCCTGCAGGCGTTAGCTGGGATGTAAATAAAGGCCCAAGTAAGGGAGAATGAGGCAGGCTGGAAAGGAATGGGCTTGAAGAGAACAGGGTCATGAAAACCTGGAGATGAGCGAGTGCCCCAGAGAAGAGAGGGTACCCCGGAGAAGAGAGTGCCCTGGAGAAGAGAGTGCCCAGCGGCTGCAGCGGGGCAAGGGCGAGCACCTAGAAGAGACCCTTGGATTGGGCTGTTGAGATCAGGGCCAACTTGGGAGAGCTTTCAGCTGAGTGATGAATTATATACAACTCCCTCTGTGCCTAGCATAGTGCCTTGCACATAGTAGATGCTTAATAAACCTTTGTTGTGTGTGACACATGATGTATTTGATAGATGCGTGCTGATTGATTGTTATGAACTTTCCTAACAGAGAAAGGAAGCATTCAATCTGGGGGGGCAGGGAGAGAGTTTTCTTCTCCCTCCCCTCCAAATGAGTCTATCTCTTTCTGTCCCTCCATATATGTATATGTATGTCCATGTATGTGTACACATATAATATGCTTGTCTATGTTTGAGTGTGTTGACTTGGAATGAAGTTGGGAGGATGTGCCCAGCCATGTGGAAGGCTGGATGCTGAATGGGATGCCATTACCATCAGGCCTCAGTCTTAAAGGCTTTATCTTATTAAATGTGTTCTAAATTAGGAGCATTCTTTCAAAAATAGAAAGGCCTCTCAGCCTGCAGTGTGACTCAGCCTTCTTCATAACCATCTTGGCCTCAGGAGTCCCCCGGTCTCTACTTGCTGCCACTGAAAATTGACTGGAGGTCAGCCAACCACATTCAGTGTGGTATTAATCACACTCAAAGAGGAATATTGTTTTCAGGCTTTGTCTCCTACTCTCTTGCTCTCTTTAGTGGGTACCAGTGTGTGCTCCTTGTTTTTATAAAAGCTGTGCCTCCCATTTCCCTAAAAGCCCAAGATTTGTGAAGCTCCCCCAGGCAGGTGGCAAGTCCTGGGAATTCCAACTTGGGTTTACTTACTTGGAATCACGCCCCACTGGGGAGTCTTGGCAGGAAGCAAGAGGGATATCTAATTTTCTTAAATCTTCTTTCTGGATTGGGTCTTGCTTGAACCAGAAAGAAAATTTCCCTCCTCTCCAAGCATTGGCAAAGTTTGGGCCTATAAAGCAATTCCTCATTTTTAATTTACCCTAAATTGAGGTGGAGACCTAGCTGGAGTCCCCTTGGGTAGTATTTGTAATGTGCCTACAATGAGTAGTGAAATATTATAGAAGAGACAGCAATGACCAGCATATGTTGAAGGTTCATCTCTGGGACTTCAGACGTTCCCCAGGTGGCCTTGTTCCATCCTCCCCCAACACACATACTCTGCACCCCAGAGAAGCTGCCAAGTTTGATCTGACCCAAGCAGCTCTGTCCTTCTCTCTACCAGAGGGTACAAAGGATTGAAGACTTACACCTTACCCCCCTCGCTCTTTACATCTCCTGATAGCTCTCCATATCTGAGACACGGGACAGTTAATAAAACTGCTGTCACAAGGAAAAGGTAATCCCGGCCTTCTGGGTCATGGCAAAAGAGAAGCATTTAGAATTGACGGCGCTAGGGAGGCCTGACAAGGTGAGGATAACATGGCAGAGGAGGTGGGGCCCGCCAAGGACCCAGAGTAGACCCAACGGAAGCTGCTGACGGGCCTCCTTTTGTGAGCTCTGAGCCCACTTCTAAAACTTTGAGGGTGCTTCAGTAAGGCCCTCAGAAGAGTCGGTGCTCAGCCACTGCACGCGCCCTGTCGGAAAGAGGGCTGGCTCCATTCTTTCTCCTGGTTTTTGCACTTTCAGTTATTGTTCATTGCATTCATTTGGAGGATGCCACGTGGCAATAGGAGTTTGTCTGATCTGAAGTCTTTCTGTTTCCTAGGCTGAAATTTATATTTGGTCCATCCGCCGTCCAGGCCTTGGATCTTGTCGATCGTCGTTCTGTTACCCGCATCTCATCTCCTAGTGGAAGAACTGTGTACCAGGTAGAGCTTATTTGGGGGAATTTCCAATGTGGAAAATTCCCATTACGTTTAACTTGTGTGTTTACTCGACTCCATGTGGGGGAATGCTATAGTCAAATTACTTCCTGTACTGTTATGAAAGCATTTGACCTGATGGGAAACATTTGACTGTTAGTAATTGAAATAGAATCCATTTGCAGCCTCAGAATTGTCCAGTGGAATGAGCAGGAGACTGAGAGTGAATGGGCATTTAATCTTGGGCCTCATCAAGCTGAATGTCAGAAATGATGCATCCTTCCCTATGACATAGAGCAGGAAATGAAACCAGTATTAAAAGATTTGCTAATGCATGGGGGGAAGAAAAGAATTCCCTCTTTCTCAGTTCCCTGAAGTTTGACAGTTGTGATTTTTTTTTTTTTTGTGGAGAGGGTCAGAGTCATGATTGTTTCAAAAAGATTTTTAGCATCATCAAGTCTTTCAGTCAACAAGCAATTATTCAGTCCCTACTGTGTGCCAGGCAGTGTACTGAATGCTAGGGAAACAAAGAAGGTCAAAACAGTCTATACCCTCAGGGAGCTCCCATTCTAGGCACTAGAAGCTAGGGCCTGAGAAAGGTCTCCTCCTGAAGGTGGGGGAGGAGCTGATTCTTGAAGGAAGCTGGAATTCTGAGGTGCCACGGTGAGGAGGCAGAGCGTGCCAGGCATGGGGTCAGCCCATCAGTTCAAAGGTGTGGAAATGGAAGATGACTGATGTATGTGAGAAGTCATAGGCCAGTGAGCTGGATCATGGGGGAAGGAAGAGGGGTATATAAAAAAAGGCCCATTAGAAGGGACCAGATTGGGAAGAGCTTTAAATGCCAGACAAAGGACTTAATATCAGATCTTCAAGGTAATGGGGCGCCATTGATGTTTGCAAGACACCCAATGCTGCCAGCTCCTCCCACATACTCATGTGTCAAGTGCAATAGGTCTGTAGAGCTGGACAAAGCCTGACCTTAATCCCTGCACCAAGCAGACCCAGGCAGTGGTGTTCTGTGCTTTGTAATTCAGAACCTCATCAGGAATTTGCCTGCCTGAGGTCAAGAGGCATGTCAGCAGGATTGTTCTGGCTGGGGAACTCTGCAGCCCACCAACCACAGCCCTGCCCTCACCCACGGAAGCTCCAACCCTGGAGATGTCATCATCTTCTTGCTAGAGATTGTTTCCTTTTTCTCAGCTGGGATTTGCATATTGTCTCCAATTTTTTTATGCAGTCAAAAGGCCGCCTCTCTTCTTGAGAGGAAAGAGGTCCCCGGAGCTGACAGCTCTTCCCACGTCCTCATGTGTCAACTTTTGTTTTGATTCTTAATCTCGGCATAGCACTCGACCTAGGGCAGGCTGGCTACCAGCCATATCCTCATTTGAAGTGGGCTGCCCGCAGCTGTGCCATTCACATTGGATTTTCATTTACTATGATGCTTGGCTCTCCAGTGACCCAGTTGTTAGCTAAGAGCCTAATGACTTTGCTTGAGACGTTTTTCATCATAGTTGACTTTTTACTTTTCCCAGTGGTTATTTTCATTTGTTTAGTTTTCATTATTCACATCCTGTGTTATATTGGGTTGCCTTATTTATCATAAAAATGCTAACTTCCTTGGAGTGTGGCAATCAGCCCAGACTCTGAATTAAATGGGGGCTATGGAAACTTCACACCCTTGGGATTGTTCTTAATGGTCCCATTTCACTGTACTTGGCTAGTGTCAAGGGTCTTCAGATGAGGGAGGAGACTGAAAAGATGTTCTGGTGGTCTTTCTAGGACCAGGCCTTGGTACCGGAGCTGGCTGTCTTCCCAGGGTGTACCTGTCTAATTGCTGTCTGCCTTGTATCATGAGTACTGGGGTTTTGTGCTGGGTGCATGCACATTCCACTCGTTCACTCACTGGTTCTGGATACATTTGGGAAGTGGGGGCCAGTCCTCCTCTTTGGCTTGGTTTGATCGTAGAACCACAGGCTTAGAGCTGGAAGGGACCTCAGACACCATCTGATCCAACCTTCTCATTTTATAGAGGAAGAAACTGAGGCCCAGAATGTTAAGTGACTTTGCCCGCAGTCCGAAAGCAAGATTTGAAATCAAGTTTTCCTGAACCCAAATCTAACCGTCTATCCAAAGCATCTTAGAGTATCCTCCTGCCTTTTGAGTAGAGGACGTGCCCTTCAGTTAAGTCACCATCTCTAGAGCCTGATGGGAGCAGGACAAACTTCCCTTAGGTAGTCATGTGCCCACAGGCACCTGCTGTCTAATATACCCCCTTTTTAAAACAAAGCAAAACTGAGACCTTTGTCGTTGCCCACTGAGAGGATGCAGGCATGTTTTGGGAAGAGCAGTCATTATTTGCTTGGACTTAGAGTGGAAGAAAGGTAAAAATAAACACTCAGAGCTTCCCATAATGCTCCTTGACTCAGACGACCAAGTGGTTTACGTGGAAGGCTCTACCAGCCTTGGGTGGCCAGGGAAGGTGGCAGCCAGCTGATTGGTGCCACGACCCACGCAGAGTCAGTGACTGTTTAGAGCGGATGCAGATGCATTCCATCCCTGTGTGCTTCCTGACTGCCTGCTCTACCCTGAGCCCCGCCTGGGAAGTCCAAGAAGCACCATGAGGAGGCGTCCCTTCTTTCAGGGCCCTAACATCTGTTCAGTAAGTCACTCTAAGACCATATTCAAGGCCAGAAGCCCAGTGATGGTCAGAAGAGTTTGGTTAAACCTTGAGCCCGAGGGCCCGAGGTGTGATGACTGAGGACAGAGCAAGCCCAACTCAGTCGCCCCACCCCAGAGGGCTGCACACTCCCCAGGCATTCCTTCCTCTGTCTTGGCAGTCTTTCCCTCCTCCTGCCTCTCCAGTCCTACTTTGGGGTTTTTTCTACCGCTGCTCTGTGAAGTATTCAGACTGTGAGCTCCACTAAGTTGGGCCCTGGGGCCACCAGTGCTAGACTGTTCATTCCATTCAAGTGCCTGCCGGGGACCAGGTGCTGTGCTGGGCACTCCTGAAGATGCCTAGGTAGCTAACTAAGCCACTGTTCTGCTGTCTCAAGGTAATGGGGTAGGGAGGTGTGCCACAAATAGCCGTAATGCAAAGTAAGCTCTAAGGATATTGAGGGGTACAGAGAAAGGAGTGATTTGAATGATTTGGAAATGTCCAAATGAGTGGGTTAGAGAAGGTTTCAAGGAAAATCATTGAGTTCAGAGGGAACTTAGAGGTCCAGTCCCCTCATTTGACATATGAGGAAACTAAGTCTGAGAGGTTATGAGTAGTGTTCAGAGTCACACAGGTAATAAATAACAGCCAGGATTCCCACAGAGGTCCTCTGACTCTGAATCCAACAGCTTTCAGCTGGGCTTTGAAGGTTGGGTGGAAATGTTAGGAAGAGCATTTCAGGGTCAGCAAACATTGTGAGACAAGGAACAGAGGTGGAAAAGTGTAAGATGTAATGAGGTCTAGAACTATGTGCTTAGAGCTCAGAGCGTGTGGTGGCTCCAGAATGGATTGAAGTCAGGTTGTGGAGGCTTTTGAATGGCAGGCCAGGATCCCAGATCTGAATCGGGAAGGGGCTTCAGAAGCCCCTTTTACCAATGAGGAAATTGACATTCAGAAAGATGCAGTGACTTTCCCGGGTAACTTGGTCGTCAGTGGCCTGGGCAGGAATCCAGCTCAGGTCTTCCTGATTCCAAACCTAGCACTCTGTCCACTGTGCCACCTTGGCCTAGGACTTTGACTTTAAGTAGGGGCTGTCATGGAAGGTTTTCAAACAGTAGATTCTATCCAATGGCAAGGTTACCTTGACAGTAAAGTAAGGTTACCCGGTATAAATTGGTTAGAGTAGGAGAGTAGAACAGGGAGGCAGCCAGGAGGGTCTTACCATCTTCTAGAGGAGCGATAGGGGCCCAAAACAAGATGAGGGGAACGGAAAGAAGACAATTGAGGGGATTCCTGGGAAGATGACAGAGAGATTACCAAGAACCCGTGTAGCTCACAGACCTCAGAAAAACAACAGAAAAACTGACAATTTTCTAGAAGGTTTAAGCTGAAGAAAAGCTCTGGTACTGTCCATTAAAATTACAGATTGAGAGAAACAAAAGGAATGCCACCAGGGGATATGTACTGGTTGGCACAATGCTGGAAATCCCAAGAGGTAACCTCAGCTGGGTAATAGATGCCTTCCAGGAATTCAAGAAGGTTTCAAATTAATTGAAGGAAAAAAAAAAGGCAAGAGGAACTAATAAAAAATGGGAATGCAGCTAAAAAAAAGTGAAGGGGCATGACAAAAAGGAGTACCGTTTATACTTTAGTTTCTCATTGTGGGTACTCCCTCCACTTGTGTAGATTCCAGCCCCTCTTTGCCTTAAGTGAGATTCTTAATGAGTTGCTGGGGCCCAGAGTCTCTCTCCTGTTGACCACTACCTGGTATTGGATCCTCCACATCTGGCAAGGCTGGTGCAGAGTGGTCGTGACCCAGCCTGTACCCAAAGGCTTTACTGTTTGGCAGGCCCTGGCCCTGCCCAGGCTCCTCTGTGATAAACAACCTTCATGCTGTGATAGAGTATCAGGTTATGACTTAGTAAAATGGGGAATGATGTAGAGTACATGAAAACTCCCCAGAAAGAATCTAAAAAGAGGATAAATGAGGTGGGGGTAAAGAATAACAGAACAGCTATGGGGAGACAGGATCTGGGATCTCTTTGGTATTAGGGACTCCCAGGTGAGGAAACTCCATCCACTTATGCAGATCAGCACCTTCTCTACAACATATAGTCTTAGAGCAAGGTTCTTTTTTTTTTAAATTAATTTATTTTGATTTATCAACAGTCACTTCCATAAGCTTTTGAGTTTTAAATTTTTCTCCACCTCCCTCCCCGCTTCCCTCCCCTAGATGGCTTGCAATCTGATATAGGCTGTATATATACATTCCTATTAAACATATTTTCACATTAGTGATGTTGTAAGGAAGAATTAGAACCAATAGGAGGAACCACCAGAAAGAGGAAACAAAATAAAACAGAAGAAAAAAAAGAGCAAATAGTATGTTTTGATCTGCATTCAGACTTCATAGTTCTTTCTTTGGATGTGGTTAGCATTTTCCATCTTGAGGCCTTTGGAGATGTCTTAGATCCTTGCATTGCTGAGAAGGGCTAAGTCTATCAACATTAGTCATCGCACAACGTGGCTTAGTTCTGCTCACTTCATTCAGCATCAGTCCATACAAGTCTTTCCAGGTTTTTCTGAAGTCTGCCTGCTTGTCATTTCTTATAGCACGATAGTATTCCATTATATTCATATACCACAACTTGTTCAGCCATTCCCCAACTAATGGGCATCCTCTCAATTTCCAATTCTTTGCCACCACAAAAAGAGCTGCTATAAATATTGTTGTACATGTGGGTCCTTTCCCCATTTGTATGATCTTTTTGAGATACAGCCCTAGAAGTGCTATTGCTGGGTCAAAGGCTAGAGCAAGGTTCTTTGTCCTAGTATCCATGGACCCCCAAGAGATCCATGGATTGATTTAAGGGAATCCATGAACTTGGATGAGTTTTATTAACCTCTAACTGAAAATCAGCATTTCCTTCAATTATCTAAATTTTTTCCCAAAAAAAAGAGGTCCATAGTTTCACCATGTTGCCAGAGGTCTTTCTTTGACATAAAGAAGTTTAGGAAGCTCTGCCTTAGAGAGTTGTCTAAAGCACACAGAGTTTAAATGACTTTTCCAGGGTCACACAGCCAGGCTGTGTCGGAGGTGGGCCTGGCTTCCCGGCTGACTTTCTCTTTGCTCTGCCACATTACCCAATCTATGCACAAGAAAAATTTGCAGGAAGAGAAGGTTGGAAAATAATTGAACTGGAAACATATTTAGAAGCAGTGCAATTTAAGTGAAAACTTTGGCAGACAAGTCTTGGTGGCACGGAACACAGTGGAAAAAGAAAAAAATCAGATCAATATTATTTCAAGAAACCTGGGATGGTTCCCAGAACCATCCAAAACAAGCAGCACTATGCAAATAGAAAGAATACGCAGAATTCTAATAAGAAAATTAGAATTTAGACCACCCAGGCAAATCATTATCAAATTTCAAATCTATATTTATAATCAAAAAAAAAATTTTTTTCAAGCCACCAGAAGGAGAAAGGAAACCACCTATCACAAAATCACGGAATGGTGAAGCTCGAAAGGACCCTACGGATCATTTAGTCCCGTGTTTTTGTTTTTACAGATGTAGAAGTGAATTCCCAGAAGGGTGACTTGCCCAAGGTCACCACCCCCTTTCAGCCAATATTCCCGACCAGTTCTTAGGACTAACTTGGATCAAGATCTCACCAGGGTTTTCTTTTGGGGTGGGGGCAGGGGGGGAATGAAGACATTTGAATAATGCCTGTTTCAGTTCAAAATGTGTGTGCTCTGATCCTGAGCTCAGATTCCTTAGATACCTAAGGCTTCTGTTTGAAGAGATAAGGCAGACATTTTAAAATCCAAAATGAATTCCCAAGGAAAAACCTACCCTTGTACCAAGCCCGTCCATCCAAACTAGAAACTTAACAACTGGTTGACACTCCTGGCTGGAATCTTAATGTAAAGAAATACAAACCCTACTAAGAAAGGGGGAAAAAATTAAAAAAAAAAAAAAAAACTTGAATTGGTCAAAAGGTTGAACATGACAGTTTGGATCAAAAAGAAAAAAAGATGATCAGAAAGGTCAATTCCAACGTGTCCCAGAAGTCTTAGTTTGGTTTTCAGCATTACTTTTGTGTGTTTGACCATGATCCAAAGAGTTTTTCAGATAAACAAAGAAAAGGTAATGAAAAGGGGGAGGAAGAGAGCTGACGATCCCAAAGCAAAGTACCTGTCTGTGGCTCAGGGGGATGTTGAGTTTTAGGGGAAATTGAGCAAAACAAAGGGTTTTGTGAAGCCCAGCGGAGGTCATTATCACCAGGTAGAGTCAAGGAAGGCTTCATGTAGAAAGTGGCATTTAAGAGGGGCTTTAAAGAGCAGTGGAAAGTCCAGTCAGTAAAATAGGAAGGGAGGACATCTTAGGCACAAGGAATGGTGTGATCCAAGGTGGTGAGAACCCCCAGGGTTAAGGTAGGGTAACATGAGATCTGGGGGGAGCTTTGATTGCCAGGTGGGCAGTAGAGAACTCTAGTCACTGAGCACAGACATCTTAGGACCACGGCTGTGGATCAGCAGAATTAGCCCAGCCCTGGTGTAAGGGATGGATGGAGGGCTGGGGGGGGAGGGCAGCAAGAAGATCCATTGGTAGATGTGGAGGGACTTGGGGTTACCAGTCAGAGTCTGAATTCTGGCTCTTCCTATATACTGTCTGTGAGATCTTGGGCAAGTACCTTCACCAGTCTGCCTCAGTTTTCTCATCTGTAAAATGGGGAGGCTAGACCACATGATAGCCAAGGCCCCTTCTCTCTCTAGATGTATAACCCTATGTAATAGTTCAGACGGGTGGTGATAAGGATCTGTATTCAAGTGGTGGCAGCAGGCTGTGAGCAGTATGAGGAGGTAGAATCACCTTAATTAAGGCCAGGATTTTGAACATGGGAGACGAGGCAAATGGTGGCATCACTACTAGAAAGAATGAAGTCAAGAGGAAGGGCCAGGCTGGGAGGAAAGATGCTAACCTTGATTTTGAACATGTTTGTTCTCCAACATGGTGGTGTTGGAGGCCTGGAAGTGTTGATCTTAGAAGCACGAGCCCAGAGATGGCAGTTGAAGCCATCGGACCATAAGAGGATGCCCAGAAGAGGCCTGAGGATGCCCAGAAGAGGCCTAAGGATGTAGGGCCAGCAGGAACAGGCCATGGAGAGGTTCCAGGTGCTGTGGGAGGCCCCAGGATGCCCAGGCCATGACTGGGTCTCCATTTGCTAATAGCAGCAGTAGACATGGATTCAGTTATACTTTTTAGGTGTCTCAGCTTCCAGGCCGTGACAGCGAGAGTCTCATGGGAGAAGCTGAGAGGCCATTCAACTGGTCCCAACCTCTTCTTTGGTCATGGCCTGGCCCCCCATAGAAGACCTTGGGAGGGAAGGCCACTGGTGTGGCTCCAGAAGAGGCCTGGCTTCCCTGGCCTTACGTTGTCATCCTGAGGACCACAGCTCACTTGGAGGGTCTTTTCAGATTACCTTTGGCTTGGGGTGGCTTTTGGAGGTTCAGCCCAGGGAATGAGGGGTCCTACTGTATCCAAACAAGAGTGCCCTCTGCCCCATCCCTGAAACACAGCTATCCAGCCTCTGCTGGATCCTACCTCTGACACCTGAGGCATGTGAGTGAGCCTTGTTAGAACTAAGTTCATCTCTTGAGAACTTCCACCCGCTTGAGCAGTATCCTATCATATGGAGAGGTTGAAATCGGGGCCCACCCCCCACCCTGAGGCCCTCCTTTGGGCCGCATTCCTCCCTGGTCTTCCCACCCCTCCAGCAGCTATGTTCTTCCATGTACCTGCTTTGTTTCTCTCTTTATTTTTCCTCATAAGACCTCTCAGAGAGGCATGTTGGGGATCTCCTTTTGTCTTTGGCATTAGCCCCATGATTGCCTCACCCCACTCTCAAAATCTGTTTCCTCCTCTCTAATATGGGGTTGGTGCTATACTACCTGCCTCATGCCCTCAAAGCCAGAAGACCTGGGGTCACACCTCAGCCCTGACACCTACCCACCATGTGATCTTGGGCAAGTTATTAAACATTCCAATGCCCTAGGCAGAGAGGAGTGCTCACCTGCCTTGGTAGAGGGCGTTCCCTCCTCTGGAGATCCCTGCCTCACATGGGTGTGGTGGTGAGAAGGCACCTCACACCAGGGCTGGACCACTCCCCATGTTTCCCATGGGAGTGTGGGCCAGTCACGTGTGTCCTCTCCCTCTGTGTGTGGGGGGGTGTGCCATGCAGTGGCTGAGGATGAGAAGTGCAGCTTTGCAGTGCGGAAGGAAGGGAAGGGAGGAAGAGAGAGAGGAAGGAAGGACCCACCCCACCCCACCCATTCGCGAGCAGGGATGAACACATCTCTGGCTCCTGGTCCCTTACTCTTAGGGGCACCCCACAGCCTTTCTCACTGTTTGGGATGGGGGTGGGATGCTGAGCAGCCAGGGCTGAGCCTTTGCTGACAGGAGTCGGGGCCACTGAGGGGAAGGCCAGACTCTGCCACAGGAAGCAGAATTTCCCCTTTTCGGGGGCATCACCAAAGCTTTCCCTTCTGGTGCAACACTCCACATAACTCTTGAGTAATCAGATGAATTACAAGGGAAGGTGGCCGGGCCGGGCCTGAGCCTCCCCTGTGTTCTTCCACCTGCAGGTACGTGGCAGCTCCGGGAAGGCGTATGTGTGTTTCGCCTCTTGCCATTACTGCTCGTGCCCAGCCTTTGCATTCTCTGTGCTTCGGAAGAGTGACAGCCTGTTGGTAAGAGGTGGGGAGAAGGGGATCCCCTCGTGCACGAGGCCACGTGACCAAGTGTTGAAATGAACTGCAGCCAGTGGCGCTGTCGTGTTCTCTAGTCAACTGTCCCGGGTTTGACTCCCCAGAGGAGTCAGATTTAGGCAATTGGGGTTAGGTGACTTTCCCAGAGTCACACAGCTAGTGAGTGTCAAGTGTTTGGTCTGAGGCCGGATTTGAACTCAGGTCCTCCTGACTTTCACTGCACCACCTAGCTGCCTGGAAATGTCATTTTTTAAGAGTATCGGTTTTCCTCCTGGGTGAAAACCCTTCCAGAAAGCTGTCCCTTTCACGCTTACATGGCCGTTCCACTCAGAGTCTCCCAGGAAGCACTGGAGGTTGGCACGTAAGAGGTGCCCCCCCCAGCCTGGGAGCCAGCCTGGCCGCAGAATGGACAGCAGCCTCTCTTCAGCTCAGGCCCTCGATTACTCTTGGGACCTCGTCTTTAGCCCGTGGTTTATGGGAACGTAGATCAGGAGTTAAAGTCTGGGAGGCCATGTATTCCAGCCATCCCACGGCCCAGGAGCGTTCAGCGTCTGGACCAGCATCACACAGCTTGTCAGGAGCGGAGGGTCTCATGTCGCCATGATGGTTGTCTTCTCAAGACACAAGGGGCTAGTCTGGCCCCGCCTTGGCATAGGCCCCAGGGGCCCAGGCACACACCTCATCCATCGCCAGCCTCAGGAGGGAACCAAGGCATCTGACAAAGGGAAAATGTACGTTTGCTCCATTGCCTCCCATCAGGGACTCTTCACCTTTTTGTGCCCCGTACCCCTCAGGCAACCCGCTGGTGAAGCTTGGGGACCCTTTCTGAGTCATGTTTGTAAACGTATAGAAGAAAACGCACAGGACTGTGATCAGTTATTGAAATACAGTCATCACATGCCCTTTTCTATCCAAGTTCGTGGACCCCCTGCAGTCTGTCATTCATACCAGGTGAAGAGCCCCTGTCCCAAAGGATGGGGGGTGGGGGGGGCATTGGAAAGAAGAAGGCAGGCCCGAACAGTAGCATCTGCACCATTCTTCCCTTCAGGTTGTCTCGTGATCACCTTGGGCACCGCTGGGGCTTCAGGTGACGCTACCCAGGACATCTCCCCTGCCTGGTGCAGCTAGTCATTTGTTTCATCTATTCTCTTTATTAAAGAAAAAAAAAATGGATGTGTTTTTTCTATCACCTTGAAACAGCTGGTAGCGAAATAGATAGAGTACCAGGTCTGAAATCAAGAAGACCTGAGTTCAAATCAGGCCTCAGATACTTAACTGGCACCTCTGCCTCAGTTTCCTCAACTGTAAAATGAGGATAATAATAGCACCTATCTCCCAGAGTTGTTGTGAGGACTAAATGAGATAATCACCGTAAAGCGCTTAACACAGTGCCTGGCGCTGTAAATGCTAGCTGTCATTATCTTTAACCTCACTTCTAAACTACCTTTCCTCCCACCCCTGCCCCATAAGCCATTCCCATGCACAAAAAATTAAAAAGGAAATGGTGCAGAGGGTCGGCAAGGCCAAGGGTGGCAGAGTCCAGCCCAACAGTAAAGGCGGGGGTCTGCCTCTCTCTCCAGGCTGGGCTTGGTCATTCTGATGGCCCAGTTTGGGGTTTTTGTCCTTCCCATGGTTTTGTAAACATGTGGGCTGACTTCCTGGCTCCACTCGCTTCTCTCTGCTTCCTTTCATACAAGTCTTCTCGTCCTTCCCTGAATCTCTCACATAATGTCATTGTTTCTTCCAGCACAGTCATTCCGTTACGATCACGTGCTGCTACAATTGGTGTAGCCTTTCCCCACTCCATGGGCACTGACTGTTTCCAGTAGTGCCCCTATTACATTCTCTTTGAAAACCTGGGTCTCACAAAGCAAGACTGGTCTGGGGGACCACAGGGACTTCAGAAGAAATTGGCAATTAGGCAATCTCTCCTAGAATCAAAGGGCAGAGGGAATCTCGGGATGAAAGGGAAATCTCTTCCCCAGATATCGACGGCTCAGCCCCCAGAAGCAGCTGTGGGCATCGCTGCGCTGGGGCTACTGGACTTGATGACAGTGACTCCCTGAGTGTAGAATCACGAAGGAATTTGGATCAGCTTCAGTGCAGAATTTGAATTTTCTTTCGACTGTTTGGTTGGCATCATGAGAGAGAATCTCGTGGGCGGGCTCTTGTGGCCGTGTCGGTCCTTTGCCCTCTGGCTGCATGTGATTCATTCTGCTTTGGGTCATGCCAATCCTGGGCCTGTTCTGGGGACCTGGAGATTCCATGTGCTTCCTTTCCCTTTGCAGCACAAGAGCGCAGTGTCTCTCATCACTGGCAGGGCCTGCCATGACTGCTGGCCTGTGTGCTTTGGCCTGACCCCTGCCCAGTGGTGAAAGACTGTTTCTTACAGTTTGATCGGGTGGATTTTCATGTTTTAAGAGAGGTTGTTGTGGCAGTTTGGACAGAGTCGGGGTGGTCATTGGGCTTTCTCTCTCTGGTTCCTCCCCACTTCCCCAGATGGACTTTTCAGGGAAAAAAGGTTTAATGGGAAGAGCTCTAGAACAAGAGTCAGGACCAGAGGGTTCTCTTCTGGAATCTATGTATAAATATCTGGGTTCTGTGGACTTGGACGGGAAAAAGACTGTTCCTTTATTTTCACTACCTGTTGTAACTGAAATGTAGTATGTCCTTCAATTATTTAAGAAAGAACATTCTTCTGAAAAAGGGCCAACAGGTTTCACTAGCCTGCCCTGGGCCCAGCCCAGCCACTTAGTGGGCTCAGTTTCCTTACATGTAAAATGAGAGGCCTGGTGATCACTTCAGTTCTAGCATTCAGCTCTACCTCTGACTGAAGATGGCACCATCCCTACCTCTGTTAACTCCCTACCTTCCCAGCTTTCCTGGTAGGAAAAATCGGCTGGAGGTGGAAGCTGCTGTCCTCTAAACTTGTTGGGCCAGAGCTCCAGGGCCGCAAAGGGCCCCACTGGTCTTTAGGTGTTAGCTGACCTCCCCTACAGCACTGTTCCATGTCAGCTTGAGGGTCCTTTTTGTCCTGAGGTGATCGTGGGCACGTGCTCGGATTGCCCTACATGGGGTTTGTGGAGAGGCCTGGCCTCCTGCCTGCCTCTCTTTAGCCCCACCTGTCTCTTCTGTCCTGGTCCAGACCTGGGTTTCCAGTGGGAGGGAGGAGTTCCTGGGCAGGAAACATGTTTTACTGATGTTGCTGGTTAGTCTTCTGCAGCCAAGTGTCTTAGAGCAGCAGATCTCTAGTTTTCAGGACCCCTTTACTGTCTTGAGGACCACTGAGGACCCCCACCCCTAAAGACCTTTTATTTATGTGGGTTCTGTCTGTAGTCATCATATTAGAAATTAAGTCATCTTCCTACTATTAGGAAAAGTTTTGACCTCAAGGACCCCCTGAAAGGACTATGCCCTAAGAACCACTGTCTTAGAGAATTGCCAAATGGACCATGGACAGGTTAATGGATTGACTTTCTAGGGTCCCACAGCCACTAGATGTCAGAGGCAGGATTTGAACTGCTGACACGCTTCCTCTTCCCAAGCTGGTTTCTAACTGACTTGTATCTTATGTCTTCCAGTGCAAGCATCTCCTGGCCACCTACCTTAGCCTGGCCATGGGGCTGTGCCAGGATCTGAGCATGTCTAATGAGCAGCTGTCTGGCCTCCTGTTAGCAGAGGAGGATCAAGAACAGGTCTAGAGCACCTCTGGCACCACCGACGCCTCTTCTTTTCACCTGAAGCAGAGATGCTGGACTGAAGGACTGAGTGAGCATTTATTAAATGCTTATTGTATGCCAAGCACTGTTATGATGCTCCCACTTTCTCATTTAACCATGTGTTATCTACTTAGAAGGAAAATGGTACCTTTCCTTCTGTCGAAGGGGGTTATAGAACATGCCTGTGATTATGGCCAAGTCCTCTTATGAAGGGTTTTTGACAGCCAAGAGGTCAATGAGAGAACTGAATTCTTCAGCAAAATCGACTGTAGTAGCTGATCTTTTTTTATTTTTTTAAGGGGAAAAACTTATTAGTTGGCATTATGCAGTGTTCAGGTTGGGAACAACTAGGTGGCGTAGTAGACAGAGTGCTAGGCCTTGAACCAGGAAGACCTGAGTTCAAATCCAGCCTCAGGCACTTACTAGCTGTGTAACTGGTCAAGTCACTTTACCCTGTCTGCCTCAGTTTCCTCATCTGTAAAATTAACTAGAAAATGAAATGGCAAATCACTCCAGTATCTGCCAGGAAAACCCCAAATGGGGTCATGGAGAATCAAATGTTCTGATTTGGTAAACTAAGGAAGGAGGGAGGCTTTTTCTTTCCTAGTCACATATCTATCTGTCTCCAAAGGGATGGGGAAGAGGCCTTCACCAGTTTGGAATCAGAAAGTCTGCATTCAGCTTCCAGCCTCACTGTTGGTTAGCTTCATGACCTTAGGCTGCTGGGCTTTCCAAGTCTCTTGTTTCCTTTTCTGGAAAATGGGGATAATAGTACTTATGCTGTGTGTCCCACCAAGTGAGATTAACTTAGGTAAGTCACTTTAATGGACAGCTTTGATTAGCTGTCAGAGCACAGGGCTCCCCCTGGGAAAGGTAAATCCAGTGGGAACATGGCTGACACCTTGGGAATCCCCAGAAGCAGAGGGACTTGAGGGCATAGATAAAGGAGTCATTCTTTCATCCAGAAAACATTAGGGGACTACTGTATGCCAGGTGCCAGGGCTATGCAGAGAGGAAGCACACTGACCTTGCTCCCAGAAGCTTAGAACCAGCATGTGACTAGCGTCTGGAAGCCCGGAATGGGATTGGTTTTTTATTTGCATATTACATTTTAATAAACTCTCATTTTAAACACAGGTAACTCTGGCAGGCAGGATTGCATAGAGAACCCGGCCTCAGGGCCGGCTGGCCCTGGGTTCCCTGCCACATCCTGGCTGTGTAACCCTGGGCAAAGAATCTCACCATCAAGGGCCCCAGGTAGTCTATAAAGACTTCTTGTTTCAGAAGTTCTGATCTACGTTGATTGGGGCGGGGGGGGTTTTCCAGAAATGTTGGGAGCTTCTTACAACATGGAAACCATAGGTCTGATCCCTTCTGTGGGGGCCCCCACCACTGCTCCCAAGTAAAACAAAACACCCCAAAGGGTGGGCTGAGGGCCGGGTAAGGGTTATAAAAAATCCAAGCAGGCCCAAGTCTCTTTCAGGTAGGGAGAATCCTAGGAAAGGTGACCTCTCCTTTGAAAGAAGTGAGGGATTTTGCTAGAAAGAGGCTGGGTGAGGAGATCTGCAGTGTGGGCACGGAGGACAAGCTGAGCAGAGGGCCGGGAGGAACAGCTGTGCATGAGGCTGTGTGAAAGCCATTCCAGTTTGATAAATGGACAATGTCAGCCCTAGTCCTGAGGTTTCTCCAGGTGAGGAGAGTTGGACAACATTCCACTAGCTCAGTCTCCCTCCCATGGCGGTGTTTTCTCTCCCCAGGAAAGTGAGAAAGCCAGAGACAGTTCTGGATGTGGTTTACTACATTTAAATTTCTTATCCAAAAAAAGCTTTATTTTTAATTCACTTAAATTATCTTCAGCTTTGAGCTAATACTACGTCTGTACACACACTGCAAATGAGGTGAAAATCTCACAGTTTGGGCTCAGCCATGTCTTTGCCCCATCTTTTGGTCTGCTCGATTCCACTGGGGTGGGGAGGACCAGAAGCAGAGTGACTGTTTCAGCCTCCTCTTCCCCTACAAAGCTGAGCGGGCATCCCCTGCCCCCCCCCCCCCAAAAGAGGAAAGGGAATCTAACGCAGCAGGGGTGGACTCCTTTTCCTCCATTGTTCTTGATCCCTCCAAGAGAAGGAAGAAAAGCCACTGTCTCCGGTATGAAAAGCACGATGTCACTAGATCACAAGCTGGAACAAGAGCCGCCTCCCGAGCCCGGCCGTCCCCAGGGCCTCTTCTTCACCCATGCCTGTACGTAGTGTTCTTCTGGCCACTTCCAGGGGGAGCAGGTTCCCATTTGTCAGAAGGGCCAAGGTGTTGCGTTTCCCCATTGCTTCCAAGTTAGGAAAACATCACTGCCGAGTGGGGGAGTTCACAGTAACAGTGGCTGAAATCCTTTGCTATCAGAGAGTAGTATTCAGCACATCCAAAGCAGTGGAGCTGAGGTTGGGTAGCCTGTGGAGAAAAACGGCGTCCTTGGCCAACAGCTTCCCGACCTCCCTTAGGAGTCCCTGGCCTCGTCATCCAGTCCACACGGGGCTAGCAGCAGGACCAACTACCTCTAAGGTATGTTTCCACTCGTTGGCCCTCAGAGACAATCATCTGTTTACCAAGATCCAGAGTGAGACCAGCGAGGCGTTCAGAGCAGGCCACCTGTACGTGCGTGTCCCCACTGAGAGTGGGCCAGGCTTCTCATCGTGCCTGTCACGGGCCGCGTGTCTCGTGGCCTCTTGGCGGCAGGGGTCATACGTCTGCATCGAGGGTCTGCACCGTCCCTGACTGTCCATTGCCACTCTTGGGGAGGTCATCTGTCTGACAGAGGACGTACCTTGAGATGATCTTGCGGAACGTGCAGCGAAAATCCCTTATCCTGTAGGCATAGATGATGGGATTGACGACGGAGTTAGTGTGCGACAAGAGGATGACCGTATGCATTAACGCCTTGGGTTTGCTCTTGGCAAAGTGGGGATTGAAGAGGGTGATGCAGTTCGTGGCGTGCAGGGGCAGCCAGCACAGGGCAAAGATGCCCACGATCATCGCCAGCGACTTGGCCGCATGGATTTCCCGCTGCAGCGTGGTCCGCGAGTGGTCCATCAGCTCCATTCGACGCAGCTGCTGACAGGCCACCAGGAAGATCTTGACGTAGATCGCCAGCATGATGAGCAGCGGGGGCAGGACGCAGCCAAAGAAGTTAAAGTAGACCATGTAGGACATGGTGACCACGTTCTCAAAGAGACATCTCACAGGACAGCAGCTCAGGTTCATGGGTCCATCAGTGCAATTGCGGGTGGCATTGGCCTTGTCATTCCATCCCATGAGAGGAGTTAGGCCAATGCCAAAAGCAAGAATCCAGAGCACAGCAATGACCCCTCTTGCCCGGGTCCCAGTAACTAAACTCTTGTACCTGTTGCCAAAAAAAAAAAAAAAATCCATTACACTTAGTTTCTAATAATCAATATACCATTATAACCTTTTTTGGGGGGGGGATTTATCTTTGCTTTTTAATACAAAATTATCTTCACCACGGTCTCTTCTTGTAATGCAGTGGATAGAGTCCTGGGTCTGGAGTCAGGAAAACCTGAATTCAAATCCAGTCTCAGACACTTAGTGGCTGTGTGACCCTGGGCAAGTCACTGAAATTTCTGTTTGCTTCTCTCCTCTGTAAAATGGAGGTAATAATGGCACCTCCCTCTCCATGTTGTGAGTATTATCGAATGAGAGAATAATTGTAAAGTTCTTATCACATTGCCTGGCACATAGTAGGTGCTATATAAATGCTTATTTCCTCACTCTCATGGCCATAAACATGCCTCAGAACATATGAGTTTCGTTTCTCTAATGAATATAAAGTTCTCAGTGTCATTCTTGACTACTGGTGATCAAAGAGCACGGTCTTCGTTTTGAATGAAAAGGGCAGTTCTCCAAGGAGAGCCCAGCTAAGTTAGGAGAGAGACTGAACCTGGGAGTGTACTGGTATGAGGAAATTCCCTCTACTGATACACATCACCACCTTCTATGCCACTGCTCTTATAGAGATACCTGGAGAAGAAGGATCTTGTTCAAGGTCATACAACAGTGTCAGTCAGAAGTGGTACTCAAACTCTGGTCTTCCTGACTCAGAGGCCTGCGCTATGTCTACTCCACTCAGCCCAGCTAGATGAAGATTGAAGATGATTTTCCTTTTAAACCTAATACCCAATCGGAAACCATTCATGCCCTGGGCATTTCTGATGCCCAGCAGATGGGTGCCTGCCTCCTGGGCCAACCAAATCGGAAACGAAGGGAATGTTGAAATTACCTGTGAACTGGTGATATACCGTACCCAATGTCACACACACACACACACACACACACACACACACACACACACACACTGCAGATGAGATTTTAAAAGAATACAATTGAAGCTCGCCTACTGCTTTGTCATATTCTGTTGCATGCTTGAATCTACTGGAGTGGCGTGAGACAAAAGCTCTTCCCTTTCAAAGTTGAGAATTCACCTTCCCACCCTCAGAAGGGAGAAATTGATTCTAATTGAGATGTGGTTAAAGCCCTTTCTTTAATTGTTCTCTAGTCTCTTGAAGGCAGCTAGGTGGCGCCATAGTGCATAGAGCACCTGGCCTGAGTCAGGAAGACTTCTCTTCCCAAGTTCAAATCCAGCCTCAGGCACTTCCTAGCTGTGTGACCCTGGGCAAGTCACTTCACCCTGTTTGCCTCAATTCCTCATCTGTAAAATGTGCTCCAGAAGGAAATGGCAAACCGCTCCAGTATCTTTGCCAAGAAAACCCCAAACTGGGGTCATTGAAGAGTTGGGCATGACTGAAACAACTGACCAACAACATGTGTCTACACATAATTGAGCGTGTGTGTACACATTGCTGAAAGTGGAATGGGTACACACAACTTTTATAGCGCGACATGCCTGCCGTTAACATTGACTCATGCCCCGTGAGGCCTTCAGGTCACTGGGCTAGCTGCCCATCCCCTATATTCTGGGGGATTCCAAGGGCTGGAATTGAGGGAAGAGAATGTTCCAAGGATGGGGAAGACTACCCATGCAAACACTCAGACCTAAGCTAGGGAAGCTGAGTTCAGAAGCAGAGAACAGGCCAATGTGGCTCAAAAGGCAACTTTTGTGAAGAGAAATAATGTGAAATAAGACTGCAAAGGCAGGCTGGAGCCAAGCTGGGAGGGAGGGGAGGAAAAGAGAAAGATGGAAGAAAGGAAAGAAGGGAAAGAGGGAAAGGAAGGAGGAAGAGGGCTGAGTATACAAATACAAATAACAAAAAAGAGAGTCCTTGCCCTCAAGGAGCTTGCATTCTATTAGAGGAAGACAGTACAGGAAAGGGAGCTAAAAAAACAGAAGATGAAGATACCAACGTGATTTTGAAGTCCAGAAGACCTAAACAGGGCAGGGATGGGGAATGAAGGCTGGCTAGGGCTCCTCCCCAAAATGGAGAACCCAGGAGGTGCTCACCAATGGGAGAAAGGGGCAAGTGGGAGCCCCAGAAGGTTCTTGAGCAGGTGAGTGGCTTAGTCAGCCTAGTGTTTTAGGAGGCTTTATTTTGGCAGCTGGGTTGGAAGACTGATTGGAGAGGGCATTCCCCAATCCATATGGGTCAAATATATGGCAGCAGATCAGAGTGCTAACTGTGAATGATGAAGACGTAAGCTTTGACACTTAGCAGCTATTTGACCTTGGCGAGTCACAAACCATCAGCTTCAGTTTCCTCATCTATAAAATGGGGATAATAATGGCACCTCCCTCATGGGGTTGTTAGATCAAATGAGATAAATAAAGTGTTTTACAAACCTTAAAGTGCTGTGTAAATGTTAGCTATTGTACAATATTCCAAAAAAAGAATATTAACCACCATATCTAAAAAACTAAAAATCCTGTTTTTAAAACTAGAAACAAGGTAGGGGTCCTTCAGTTGGGCTATAGCTAAACAAATTGAAGCATGTAAAATAATGGAATATTATTACACCGTAAGAAATAAATGAATATAAAGAATTCCAGAAAAGAGAAGACTTGTGTGGACTGATGCAGAGTCAAGTGGGCAGAACCAGGAGAACAATATGGACAATAACAATCTTGTGAATGAGTACAACACAGAAAGATGGCAACTCATATCAAATGCAATGACCCAATCTTGGTCATAGACCAGCCAACCAACGAGCATTTCTTCAGAACCTACTAGGGTATGAAGAAAGCCCTCCCTCCCCCCAAAAAATAGTCCCAGTGCTCCAGGAGTGTACATTCCAATAATAATAATAGCAGCTAGTATGAATAATGAATCCCCCAGGTGGTTGCATGTGTGGATTTGAAGTTACAATTAAGTAAAATAGAGGCATTGGTTTCAGCCCAATGGAAACATGTAGCATGAATTGCATGAATTCAAGTAATGCAAATGAACAATTCAGGGGATGTCCCCAGACCTTGTCTTATAGCACTTTACATATGTTAACTCATTTGATCTTCACAATAATGCTGTAAGGCTAGTGTTATTATTATTCCCATTTTACAGATTAGAAAACTGAGACAAGTAAGTAAAGTGACTTGATTGAAGTTGACTGTGGCAGGATTTGAACTCATTTTCCTGACTCCAAGCCTGGCACTCTATCCACTGCACCAACTATGTGCCTCGAGGCAACAGATAAATAACTAGGTAAATACAAGACAACCAGAGAGTAAACAGTAGGTCATCTCAGAGGGAAGGCAATAGCAGCTGGTGCCTCAGAGAAGGTGGGCTTGGGGCTGAGGCTTGAAGGAAGTCAGGGACTCTAAGAGCTGGCGATGAGGAGGCAGAGCATTCGGGGCACCGGAGATGGCCGATGCAAAGGCATGGAGGTGGGAGAGGTGGGACCAGAACAGCCAGGAATCCGCTGAGCTGGATCAGAGTAAGGTACAAGAAGACTTGAAAGGCAGGAAGGAGAGGGGAAGGTTGTGAAGAGCTTTAAATGCCCAACGGAAAACTTGAGATTTAATAGTGGAGGTATTTGGGAGCCAGTGGAGCTCAGTGAGGAGGGGATGACACAATCAGCCCTACCCTTTAGGAAAACCATCTTGGTAGCCAAATGGAGGATGACATGATGAAATACACTGCATGAAGCTGGGGAATGGCTGAACAAGTTGTGGTATGTGAATGTGATGGAATACTATTGTGCTATAAGAAATGATGAGGAGGCAGACTTCAGAAAAACCTGGAAAGATTTGTATGGTCTGATGCTGAGTGAAGTGAGCAGAACCAAGAGAACATTGTACACAGTAACAGCCATGTTGTGCGATGACTGACTTTGATAGAGTTAACTCTTCTCAGCAATCCAAGGATCTAAGACGTCTCCAAAGGCCTCATGAAGGAAAATGCTATCCACATTCAGAGCAAGAACTATGGAGTTTGAATGCAGATCGAAGCGGACTATTTGCTCTTTTTTTTCCTTCTGTTTTGTTTCTTCTTGTGGTTCCTTTTATTGGTTCCAGTTCTTCCTTATAACATGACTAATGTGAAAATATGTTCAATAGGAATGTTTATGTATAGTGTATTGCCATCTTGGGGAGGGAGGGGGAGAAAAATTTAAAACTCAGAAGCTTATGGAAGTGATTGTTGATAACTCAAATCAATTTAAAAGAAATAAACTGCATTCCTCTAGATAGAGAGGTGGGGGCCTTCAGGTGTGGAATGTTAGATACACTATCAGAAGTCACTATCATTTGGCTTAATGTTTTTGTTTGCTATAATGTGAGGTCCTTCAGGAGTGGAGAGCTGTATTGGGAAGTGATTGTACCATTATGTAGAAACATTAATAAAACATGTTTTTTAAACTGCATTGGGTGAGTCACTGCCTAGAGGGGATTGGCTGCCTGTCCTTTGTATATTCTGAAGCAGCTTGATCCACCTGCCCATGTAATTTGCTTCCACGTCCTCCAACCATCCCTTTGACAGTGTCTTATTCGGCAGGATTGCTATTGCTCTCTCTCTGCAGGAAGGTCGCTTACTCACCAAACCTCCCTTTACTGGCCTCAGTCCCTTACAACTCTGGGCCAGCTGACCCACCCTCTCCCTGCCCCTTCTCCACTGGGCTCCTCCTTCTGGAATGCCAAACCAACTATTCCTAGGAAAAACTCTGTCTCTGGACAATCAGGGAGGTGAGTTTCAGGGAAGAAGCGAAATTCCTACAAGGTGACAGGCAGATCTCTCCTAAAAGGCAAATGGCCAGGCTCACCCTGCTTAGGACTCCCTTCTCTATAACTGTTGGGGATTTACAAAGCTCTGTACCCTGGAACCCTGTGAAGGAGACAGTTCCATTTCATGGAGGAGGAAACTAAAGCTTGAGGCAGCCTGTGAAAAAGTCTGTATTTCCATACACACACACACACACACACACACACACACACACACAGAG